CCCGCAGGAAACTTCACGAGAAAAACTATCTCTGGCACACAAGCACGTAAAGAGAAGTCGGCGGTCGTATTTTCGCACTCATCAAAGCCTTGCCAGAAGCCCACAGGTATCCAAGAAGCTGAACACAGTCTTTCGGAGACGTGTGCACGTGGATGGTGGACTTCCTTTGACGTGGATCAAGCTTTGCCGACAGCCTCAGTTGTGACCTCTCTTTTCAAATGTACGTTTGCAGTGAGTGAGCTCCTTAGCCTCGGACTTGTCACTTGTGCACCCAGTAGTTCTTTCACTTGGCAATTATATGCCATCAGTTGGGGTTTAATTTCTATTATTTATGTATACATTATGAAGACGTCCTGGAGCTCCGAACGAGTGTTTTGTGCAGATTACTTTTGCAAACACAAAAAGACTATACCAAAGCAGCGGAATTTTCGAAGTGTTGGCGAGTTGGACCTAAACTCGTTGAAGCAAATTCTTCCGCCTGACTGTTCCACCTAAGTGAGTGCGACGGACTACCTGTGCTACCATTGCTTCATGCACATCACTAAGGAGATCTCGATGCGAAGCTCAGAGCAGTGCCCTGACATGTTTGTGCCAGCTGAAGAAGCAATTGAAGATCTAAATCGCAGCATACTACCTACAGATGTGTCGCCGCTGAGACAACCAAGCGTCGTAAGAAGTCGGGACAGGCCTGCCTATGTCAAGAGAAAGCAGACAGAACGGGAGCAGGTTGCTGTCAAGAATATACGCCCAAGGCTACGTATTGCGTACGACAGGGACGCACCATCGGGGTCGTCCGAACCAACATGTTCCACATGCACTGAGTGGGTGGACAACTTTCGGCAGGCCTTTGAAACCGCCACCTCTCTCCGGGAACGTTGTCAACTGCTTACACTCCTGCCGTCAACACTGACGAAGAATGAGGTTCAAAAGATGATTCCACAGGCCTCAATGTACCTCATCAGTAAATCCCGAAAACTCAAGGAAAAGCATGGCGTGTGGTATGAGCCGGATCCTCACACGAGGTGCAAGGTGAGCCCTGAGTACTTCACGAAAGACGAGCTACAATGTTCGCGCCAAAGTCCCAACCAGAAGGACGTCATCTCTGTCATGCTCAACGGAGAGAAAACGTTCGTGCCAAAGCGCTTCATGACACGCTCAATACGAGAGGCCTTCCGTATATACAAAGACAAGCATCCCGATTCCGGCGTTGGGCTAACGAAATTTTATTCGTTGCGCCCTATAGATGGGTCCAATGTATTCCACACCAGGAAGTGTGCGTTTGTGTGCGCTGCGCCAATTATTATCTTTGTATTGCCGCTCTAGAGAACGTTACAGGCTCAACATTCAACACTGGTGAAATGAACTCGGCATTTCTGTGCGACCCAGCAACAGAACTGTGCCTTCAAGGAGACTGTGATCACTGCCCAAAAGGCCAGTTTCTTACACTCCAGGAGCTTGATATCCCGGAGGATGAAGAGATTGTGCTTGCAACATGGGAGTCCGGCGACCTTGTGAAAAAAACTTTGGAACCTGAGACTTTCCTAAAAGTCATCCAAGTGACGGTTGGAAGTTGGGTACTTCACAACCATATCCGGCAAACGCAAGGTAAAGCGATCTACGATGAAAAACAGTGCATGCAACGCGGGAGCATTGTCTTTCATTTTGACTTTGCTGAAAACTGGACCATCGTGCTTCCTGACGAAGTGCAAGCATATCACTGGAAAAAAAAAAACAAGTTTCGATATTTACATGTGTAGTGACGACAAGAAAATCTACAAACAGCTTTGCCATCATCAGTGAGGACCTGTGTCACGACGCCGCTCACGCTTGCTTGGCTCTAGAAAAAGTGAAGGAGTGGGTTGAAGACAACGTTGCGGTATACTCGTACGTGACGTACGTAAGTGACGGCGCCGCCAGTCATTTCAAGAATCGCTACCAGCTTCACCAATTTGCAAAGGACGATTGCCCACAAGCCCAGTGGTTATTTTCTGCGTCTGGACATGGGAAAAATGCATGTGACGGAGTTGGCGGACTCGTGAAGCACCAGGCCACGCTGAACAACCTGAGAGAACGTTCAGTAAGCGCAATTCAGACGGCCAGGACAATGGTGAGCGTTCTATCAAAGAAACTGAAAGGCGTGCATCTTGTATATCTGGACAAAAATGAGGTTGTTCGGTATCGTGAACAAAAAAAAGAAGAGTGGCTGACGGTGCGCGCCTTCCCTGGCATTCAGTCTTGGCACGCGTGGCGGCTCAGCAAGTCATCAACAGAAGGGACCTGTGACGTATATGTAGCACGGACAGTCGGATCTGCTTGGAAGCAACTTTATTAAATGGGTACAGCGAGGAAAACCTTAGCGTAAAGTGCCGAATTTGATTTCCCAAGGACTGCTCATTTTGAATGCAGGGACATCTTATTTATCACATTTTTCTTCACGGGGTATTTAACCTACTGTTTTTGTTGGTGGTTACTGATAATTTTTATCTGATCACTATAAAAAAAATCCCAGAATGTTATCCTCGAGCAGGATAAAATATATCGGCTTGCCACGATTCATTCATACACCGAGAGCATCGAAGCTGCTCCAGTTAGGCACTATGGCATCCGTCACCTGAAATTGTTTGTAATCGTAAATACACAGCCAACCTAAATATCTTACTATTATATCTTTGTTTTTGTGAGTGGAAGTAAAGTTTTTTTTTTTTTTTTTTTATGTAAAATATACCGGAAGGTACAACTTCACACTGCATCATCTTTTCTCAAATCATTAGTCTCTAATATGATACCACTTTGTACGCTTATGTAAAATGCTGTATATAGTTTCTCCTCCCTTTTACTGTGTGACCGATCGCTCTTTTTATCAATGACCTCATCTGAATAAATGTATATAAAAGATTTGTGCAAGTTTCATGAAACTGGAACTCAGAGTCACTTCTTGTATAGGACACTGCTAAGTGTAGGCTTTGAAAAAGGACCCTACTTTGGGGAGTTGTTTCTTCTTTCACAGTGCAATGATGCAAAATGTTTTTAATAGAAATGAATGCCGAAATAGAGTATAACAGGGTACCCAAATTTAAAAAATATCGAAGGTAATGTTTTTTTTTATTCGCATTGGAATTATTTTTGTTTGATTTTTTTCTTATGTTTGCCTAAATATATTGTAACTATTGTGTCACTCAGAGACCTTATTTATTTTTTCAATAATAGCCATATATTAGTAAAATAATGTCTGCAAGTTATGTAATAATGATTAAATTATTTCATGAGATACAGATTTCCAAAGTTTGCCATTTGTCGTTCGAGAAGGCATGTTTGGCAATTTTTAGAAAACTAAATAAATTTTTAATAAATATTATTACTTTATATTACAAGCAAGTTGTACCCATAGTTTGTTTGTAAAAAGTTTTAAAATTCTCCTAATTTTATTGTTTTAATTATTCACTTCCAAACTTGCCCCCTCCATCAGTGCGCGTTATTGCAACTGTCCACCTCTCCCTGCCTTACGATTTTTCTTGTCTCCAAATTTTTTTTCTGGTCAAAACTAAGTGTGGATTCGTTTATACCAGACACTAGACAATGTCATATAAAAACATCAGTTGATTTAAAAATGTCGACCAGCCACCCTTTGGTCGATCTTATCTGAAATCACCCAGTTGTGAAAAAAATGTCTTCAATTGTCTGCCTAATATATCCTTGTGTCCCTTCCCCGTCGACCCTTATCTCCTCCTGTGTGGTCAGTAGGTGCTGGCACCCCTCTGTCTTCCTCCCCCACGCTTTAATTGAATGTGCTTCCACAACCTTTTCCTATCTTATTTATTGATCTCCATCATCCACTGTACTCATGTACTCCTGTGCTCCCAATTTTGGCCTGTATTAAAGCTGATGCCTTCCTTTTTTTCTCTCCTGGAAAGTCTCCATTTTGACGCCCTTTCTGCTGGAATGGCTCCCCTTTTCTTTGACCACCTGTGCTCCCGAGATGCTTTTTGGTGTCGTCTATGGCTGCCTTGACCTCCTTCCACTGTCTTTTTAATGCGAAAGCATTAACTGCCCCATGGAGCGAACCGACGTCATCAGCTTTGAAGCCGCGCCAAACGGGCCCCTTCCCCTGTTCGTTTGTAGCAGAAATCTGATGGATAGGCTCCCACTGGCTGGCGCGCGTCATCAAGGAATGAGGCTCCCATTGGCTCTCGTGCGGCGTAGTCCCAAAAAACGCCACCAGAAAAGCCCTCTCCATGGTGGCGCAGCGCATGCTGCGCCGGTAAGAGGGGTGACGGTGCGGGCCTGGCCGCAGAGCCCGCCCGGGCAAACTCCGGGAAGGCTGCATGGCCGAGCTCAGCGCGGCGCGGCCACTTCACGAGAGCGCGCGCTTGGCCGTTGGCCGGCGAAACGCGGCCGTTCACGCCACTACGCCGCACACGAACTAAAAGGGAGCGGAAGAACGACATTCATGCTTTCGCATTCACAACTCATAAGAAGTGCTTAGGTGTCCTCAAACTTTTTAGTTCGTGCTTTCGTTTTCGCTTTCCTCCTTGTTTAGTACGATATCCACCTAATTCCTTCCTAAAAATGCTTACTAGATCCTCATATGTCCATTCTCGAATCATTCTGGATATTTCTTGTAGCGGAGTTTTATTTAGGCTCGATTTATCTTCCCGTTCCTGAGCTTGTTCGGGATCTGATCTGCCAAATCTATTTTCTCTTGTGGTCGCTTCCTATACTTTTTGTACTTTCCTCATCTGCTGCAGATTAGGAGGTGCTGCCTAATGTCCCACAAACTGTACAACATGTTGTACAGTTTGTGGGACATTAGGCAGTAGTTAATTATTGAGCGGGATTTGTTCAATTTGCCAGGTGATTTCCCTATCGCATTTAACTAGGGCATTAACTAACACTAGATCCAGAGCATCGCAGAACGGTTCTAGCATCTTTCCTGTTTCCTCTGTCAACCCGTCGAAAAGAAGTTCTAAATCGGCATTCATGACTCCTATGTGCGAATGTAGGGTTGCGTGGAGGACCTGAATCCCTTCAAGCCTAATCCAGCCAACTGGAGTGCTGTGCGATACGAAGACTACGGCTACACTGTAATGACAATACACAACGGGACGCATCTCAATCTCAAACAGTTGTCAGCAGAGAAGGTGAGGAAAGTCAACGGACATACCCTTTCCGACAGAAAAGGATGCAAGCGCTTTTCTGTTGTGAGTGGAAGCTGGTGCTAATAGCTCATCGAAACCACTAGCATTCGAGTTTGTAGCCCGAGTTTGAGCTTATGTTCTGTTACCAAACACCGCAGTGCGCAACATTCACGATATTTTTATGTCCATTTCAGGAAGGGCAGATCCTCGACGAAATCACCATTGTGAGAAACTATCACGGACCATACTTTTCAAGAGCCTGGTAATAAAACATAATATATTTGACAAACTGTGTTCCTCTTTTCCAACGTTCGATTACGTGTATGCTGGCAAATGCAAGCTATGTATGCAAAACAGAACACAATAAACCAGCAACCAAACCGTGACTTCATCAGCTGGGTGGTCTATAAATACACAGAGGAACCGGAACATTTACGACCCACTGAATGTTCTCGTAAGATATTATTAGAAGCGGACATTAACTCTCCTAAAATTGAATGTCGCTCGCTTCCCGCGTGCGCTGGTGTGAAACGTGACAACGCTCGAATCGATTGTTTGCATAAACACATCCGTGTCACTTCCTCGAGACCCAAAATGTAAATCAGCGTCGGTTTAGGCTCTTCGGACCACTCGGACTCCAAGCACGGTTGTGTCAAGTAGTCGCTTCAGCATCGGAATCGCATAAGAGCTCTACGCTAAAACGAATTCGAAACCTAACTCGGATTCCCGACATTTTTGGTTTTTGGGTAACAAAAAACGACCATCGCGCCATCCGGTGTTGGTGACAACAACTACACCAGGTATCTCCATCTCCACGCCCGCCCGCTGCAATGGCTTCCGTGGCGAGCTGCTCCGTCATTTGACCGTGTATGCAAAATTCCAAGTATGTGAGTCGATCTTCGATACTACACTCCAAGATGACGCCGACGATCTTCGCTTTTGTGCTGTTTTGTGCGTCGAACATGGGTGAGTTGTTTCGGACTTCTGTATATCATAATAGAACTGCAAACTTGCCGTTGCAACTTCGCAAGTTCAAAGTTTTGCGGCCATCGAGCGTTACCTTGTCCTGTCAGAAGATGCCTACTGCTGGGCTTTGGGATTCTCTAGAAAAGAAGTGCGGACATAGCGAGGTAGTCCCGTTTGAGGCGGTTTAAAGCTGTTTTCTTAGGGCGTGAAGTTCGGGCCAGCAACAAGTGGATGTAAAAAACAAGCCGCGCGTATGTGGCCGCGCCCTCAAACCGTTCGTTCAAATGTGATGTGCATTTTCGTTCGACGTAGGAAACATCACCTCAAGATCGGAACTACGAAACACGCGTCGGCAGCGGCTAATAAAATTTTATGCGAGAAACTTGCCATTTTTGACAGAACTACACAAACCAACTGCGCGTGCCAATGTCCGTTGTCCCAATAAAAAAAAAAAATAATAATAATAACGGCTGTACACGCTAGCAACCTTACATGACGCTGTAGGCCCGTAAACCGTATGGTGTATATACACCACGATGCACACTTCCTTTCCTTTGAACTTTGCGGAAAAATTCTAAATTTGAAATATAGCGTGGAGTGCCTTGCGGGCACTGCTTCAGTACCTGTTAAAACAGTTTTCACACTCTCGCTAATTCGCAGTTTCTGCCGAGATGTGGTGCTATTCATGCATCAGCAACCAGCCGGGTTGCAAAGACGACGTCAACTGGCTGATACACCATGCGATCACATGTCCACGTGCCGATGACAAGTGTGTCAAGATCGTCGAGCGCAAAGGATGTAAGTAATCCGCAGAAAAGTTCTTCCCTTTCATTAAGATTGATTAGCAGAGTTGCCGACACCCAATTCTTAAGCACACATTTCTGTGGCAATGAGGGTAGGTTGTGCAACAATAAATGCTGCAGAAAATGGTCACTCTTTGTCAGCAAACATATCAACGAACCATTTCCCTTTGGTGTTTACGGTATTGATTGTTCATCTTCTGTTCACGCTAGACTTGACAAAGCATGTATCAACCTACAGGTGGGCAGGCTGTTTTTTTAACCATTTTATAGTGAGACCGATGTTAAGGAGGATCACCGTTCGCACATTATAAGGAGCTTGTATTACAAGGGTGCACTCTAGCAAAAGTTGAGGCTTGGGCGAGTTGGTACATACTTCAGAATTAGAAACAGCGCGAAAAGACAAGGACCAGACAAAGAAGCGACACGGACGTTCCGCTGTCCGTGTCACTACGTCTGTGTCACTTGTTTGTCTGCTCCTCGTATTATCGTCCTGTTTTTAATTCCGAAGTGTCTAGCAAATTATTATCTTGAAATTCCCTGACTTTTCCAGGTTTTCCCTGACAATTTCAGGCGAAATTCCCTGACCACTGTAGAGGCGGTTAAATATATAACACCATTACAATACAAGGCATTAGCATTTAGCATTGAGCACTGTGAGCATCATTTTGCATGGGCTTAATCCAACTTGCATATACCGAAATATTCGGGGTCGTCCAGTCCGGATTAAACGAGCACTCTCTTGCCGCTGACATCTTCAGTGAAGAAGTCACTTCCGGAAACACAGTGAAAACACGACGCTCAACCACACTCGTCAATAACCAAATGGCAGCATGGCGCATTGCTGCATTACCGCCAGATGCACACTTTCGGATACTTTTGGCTTAATGCGTGAATTGGATAGGGGCCTGCGGCTTTCCCATTTGTTACTATATCTAGAAGCTCTAACTGGATCCAGCCTAGTGTCGTGCCTTCAATCCAATCCATTCCAAGGCTTGGACTGGATTTGTCGGGCTGTTTTCTAAGCATCAGGTAGCACATTCTAAATCAGTTGAGCCGAGCCCGCGCTCCGCTCTAAGCAGAATTTATTGTCTATTTTTCTGCCCCCAAGTCCTCAAGCCCTTGCTCAGGGCACTCGATGGCGTTTCCAGCCAATTTTTCCCAGTAATTAAAATTTCCCTGACAATTCCCGGTTTTCCCGGTCGCTAGACACCCTGATACGTTCGAGTCACAACTTTCAGCAATGGTGGTACCGCGATGTGCCAATTGCGTTCCCTAGTTTGTGGATGGTAGACTTCACAATGAAGATACTTATACCTTCTTCCCGACATGGAAAGATAATGTAAGGCTCTAATGCTGCTCGTACTTAACGAAATTATATTTATTTACACATCACAGACTTACCCCCGTCCAGAAACATCGGAACCATTTGGGAGATGGGGGGGGGGGGGGGGAAGGGCGACGACGGTGGTGGTGGTGGGGGAGCGACAGCGATTTTGCGCACTCTTCCCCCATATTGTTTCCATTCAATTTCTTGAGTGTCTGGGGGGGCAATTACCTCCCCCCCCCTCCCCCTTTTCCGACACCACTGCCCTTGTCATACTCTTCAACGTCAACCATCCGGATGACGGCCACTTTAATAGGCGCCATTATGCCCCCCTGTAGGTCGTGAAAATTGCGAATGTGAGGAACTTTGTTGATTAGCTAGCAGGCGCTCCTTCAACCTCGGAGCATTTTTCTTCCCGCTACCTCATTCCCGCCCATTCTTGCCAAGCCAAAATTTCTAACTAAAAAAAGCGGGAGTCTCACTTAGCAGCAACGAAATGAAACAAGTGTTGCTGGTTTCCCCAAACAGCGGAGGTGCTCTACACGCGGGACTGCCTGTCGAACCTGGAGTTTTACAGGCACGACATCCCCGCCGACACGTACGAGGGCTGCCGCCCCGCCGCAGAGAGCCCCAAGCTGGCCGTCTACGTCGACAACGAGATCAAGGAGCTCGAGCTCAAGAGGTGAGCGGTTTCTCATACTTTCGGAGCTGTACACACACACAGCAGAGGGAGTAAGCTTTGTTGCTTTCCTGGGCAGTCCCGCTTTGTTGTTCTATTTTTAGTTCCATTTAAATGTCTATCTGTTCGAGCGCATTGTTCTGGTAACATTTAAAAGGCTAAGGTAGGGAAATTCACAAATTCGAGGTAAGGCCGGTTAGCATGTGCAGGGCAGTGTCGAGATGGCACGAAGCAAGCGCTGCACGCTTCGAGAGTCATTGTGTTTGGGCATGAAGAAACAGGGTCACACATAGCGGTGTGCTGATACGGCGCCGATATATCACCAAGTCAGCACCGTGCTGTACTTCCGAGCGTTTCAAAATTAAAAAATCGAAAACTGGGTGCAGGAATTGCAAATAACCGCTAAATTTTGGGCGTGCACTATTTATCGTTATAATTAGTCTGAAAAACAGTACAATAAATGAAAGAGCTACATTCTTTGACGCAGATCACTTCTATGCATAGCACAATGTTCACTTCATGATCTTACTTTTACCAGGTGTTACGAGGCGCGTTGTCTTGCCGTACCTGCCGGCGTACACCTCCGTTGTTCCAATCTTTAGTGCAATGTTGTGCACAGTGTTGTCGCTAACGCATTTCTTTTTTCGGTAAAGTAGTAAGATACTTACTAATTTTTTAGGACAGTAATGGGCAACATGCTTATGTTACTTCTCAAAACTGAAAAAATTACACACTTAAAACATTTTTTTTATATATTTTAGGCACCAAGTTGTGAATTTTTTTAGTTTTTTCGCGTCTTTTCTTGTATTTAGGTGAAGCCATAAAAAAGATAGTTTAGTTTTTTCATGAACATAATGTCTCTTGAAATATGGCACTTATCCATACCATACCGTCAAAACAGTAAACCATGTTAATTCATAATTAAAAAAGTAACGTGCATTGCTTTTTATCAGTAACGGTAATGCGTTCCTTTCATTTTGAGGTAACGTAGGTCGGCAACGCGTTACTTTTATTTGCAAGTAACGAGGAACATAGTTCGGTACTTTTTTTTGGTAACACCTGTAACACTGGTTGTGCAGCAGTTCAAAGCTCCAGTGACAAAATTCATGTGCTTTGGGAAAAGCCAAATTTCCCAGGGTGCCCGACATCGCCTGGAGCATCTTGTAACCAGTCTCAAAGCTTAGAATCCTATTGCCCCCATTTTTCCCCTATTTTCGTGCATTGCTTACCGGACCCACTTCATCTGGCAAACTTGGAAAACAAATTTGTACATTCTTGCACAAATCGGTTGAGGCATGTTTCGAGGTTTGTCGCAGACGAAAACTTTTGCTCCCAGTGAGCAAAAATAACGAACCCATGACTCTAGCTTCCGCAGAAATTAAGTTACCCCCGATTCATAAATGCAAAATTAAAAACATTTAACGCTGAAAAAAAAAAAGTGATGACAAGACTTGAAAATTGTTAAAAATTCCACCGCCTACAAAACAGCTACCGTATTTTCCGGTGTATAAGTCGCGGCTTTTTTTCGAACATTTTTCTTGGTGCGACGGGGGCACACACCCTAGGGGGGTCAACTTTTGAACCCTTGTCTTAAAATTATTGAAATTTACAGGGTAGGCTAGTAGTCATATTAGACGGCGTATAACAAAATTTCAGGTCTGTCGGTTAAATGAGAAGGGAATTAGAGTAGCTTTTATCAGCAACACCCCTACGTTGTTTAGTTAATCTATCGTCAGAAAACTATCACGATATTCAAGATTTTTATTTGCTAGATATGTAGCAGAATGCCTAAAGGGTGCGGCTATGGAACGTTATTTCTAAAAAGTAATTCATTTCTATAAATTTTCTCTTCTGCAAAATTGGTCAACTTTTTGGTCTTCTGTGTCTTCGATAAAATGTCAACATTTTTTATAAAAGACATCCGTAAAGTGACAAAAAAGTTCCATAGCCGCATTCCTTATTAAATTTCAGTCAGGAAAAGGGGGGAATGAGCCTTCCTTGTTTTGCCACTATTAAACGATAGATTGACTAAAATGGAATTTACACCAAAAAGTGGAACGGAGAAAAATGCGTTCAAAGTGCTCCAAACCCTACCTTTTCTTTAGCTTTGGTGGACAAAAAATAATTTATAAAAAATTAACTATGCAGTGAAAATTAATTAAACTTTATGGGAATACTCTCTAGATGTTGGTGGATGTAAATATGTCATTTTTCAAAATCAGCTTTTTTTGCAGAAATCTTTTTTTCTGGGCAGTGTCTCCCCTTATACAACAACGCGACTTATTTAAGATTTTCTTTTAGGTGCGACGCCATTTTTTTTTAATACACTGCACGCCATTTTTTGTAGAGCACCATAACAGCGTAGCCATAGGTGGTGTTTCTATCTCCAGGAGGCACTGCTGTCGCCGCACCATTTTGACTCGGAATGCGAGATATTTTCATTTTTATGGTTTCCCCAAAGCGGCTCAATGTGGATAGGCACGACAGTGAGAATAAAGCTTTTACAGCATGTTATTGATGTTGCCTAACCATGGTTACATATTCTTTTCTTTCAGTCCAGTAACACTAAAAAGTAAGTGGGCTGGTATACACGCATTGCAGAATATTTTCGCACGTCTTTCTTAGTTTCTTTTTGGTGAGCAATCTTTTTGTGCAACGCTCCAGCCTTGTTGCTTCATGTAAAAGGAAGGATTGTGGCTAGCCGATCGTTTAGAGGTACCAGAAAAAAGTGTGTCAAGGTTTATCTTTCTGCCTGCGCATCGATGCTCGCGTCGTCTCCAGGACTTGGCCACACCTAGTGCTCCAAAGCTTGGTTCACGAGTGTCTAGTTCCTTAAACTTTTGTTCACTTGGCATGCGTTCGCTCGAATAAAGTCGGCTACCCTCTCATTTTGCGCATTTTACATCTTTTTTTTTGCTGCGAAACACTCGATTGCCCCTGCCAGACAGCACCATACTATGGGCATTTCTCACGAGTCGAAATGTGCGTCAAACGTTAAGTGCGATCTAGCAATTGTGCGGAACTCCGATTTCGCAATACCAATGTGCGTAAACTGAAGAAATCATAGCGTGAACCGTGCAAAGAGGTGCGACTTATATACCAACTTTTCCACGAAAACGGCTCAATATATGGATGTGCGACTTATACAAGGTTGCGGCTTATACACGTTTGCAAGTCCGGCTCCAGGGCGCTGCCATCTTGCTTGGCTGGGGTGCGCTCGGACAAGTCATAATCCAATTACGAAGCCTTGCTAAGGCGTCGTAATCGGATTATGGCCGCTCCCGAGAGCGCACCCCACTGAAGAAGATGGCGGCGCCCTGAGAGCGGACTTGCAAACGTGTATTCGCGACTCCAGCAAAACGGACGCCGCCAAGCGGGAAAACCGGGAACCAGCCGGTCCAGGTCGCTCCGCGCCCCTCCGCGTCTCTGGTGGCTTTCGCAGAGACGTGTTGTCGGCGCGGTGGCGAACAATGTAATTTGACGAAGGTCCGAATATTTCTTAAGTTTGCCTGAGTGATCATTAGTGTGGTGAAGCCTCAGTAGATTGTTTTCTTCTATTACGTGTTTGAAAGCCCGTTTACTCCACAGCACACGGTCGCGTGCTTTCGATTTCTTGGATGGAGAGGAATAACGGAAAAACTTTTTGATTTCTTGTCTGTCTCGAATCACATTCAAAGTGACGACTGCTTGGTAACTGATACTGGAGGGAACATCAATGTTGCAGTCAAGTGAATAGGAAGGTTCGATAGCTGCTTTTCTTGAGTTTGGTTGTGTTCGGTTAGCTTCAAGTTTGAGCCACCCACGCCGGTCGGTGCGTTGGGTATTCATCTTGGCTGCTTTTCGCCGAAAAAGCCTCTGGACCGCACTGAAGGAGTTGGGCTGATTTCGCAATTACTTGATTCAGGAAAACTTGCTCGCTGCAAATGATGAATGAGGGAAATTATCTGTTTTCAAAAGGTGGGAGACAAGTCTTGCAACGTTAGATGCTGTCACGGCATTTTGACCTATCGCGCCTCCAATATTTATATTACGAGGTCGTCGAAGCCAGCAGCAATATACGTCTACATTGGTCAGGTTGACCGGCCACAAAAAAATACTAATTTTCTCCGTTCAGGATTCGAAGCAAAGTTCAATTCAGAGAGGTTCTGCGTGGATCTTCAATGAAGACTCTCTTCAGTTTGTCTCCGTGCTGCCGGCTATAGAACCATTTGGCTAAGTTTAAGCAGTATATCTCCGTCTGTCAAATATACTTTTATTCAGCAGCTCACCTAATAGCTAGTCAACTAAGCTCATATTTCAACCCGAAGGATATACTAATATCGCTTTAGTGGGACCCCCATAGTACGTAATATAATACATAACCCGCTCGTCAAAATGACTTCTCGATTGCTACTAAAACCTGAATTGAAATACGAGTATCAGCTGCTTAGTGGGGCGCCGGCGGGTTAACATGGTCCTTGGCTCAAGAAGCGGTTGCTTAATTTTCGTAATTTTCCTGCAGCCTGTGTTGTTGGCCGAGCAGACGACTGGAGCTGTTTCGTAAACGCGGATACGCACAAAAGCTCGATTTCGCGGACAGATAAGTCGCATGGTCGAGGCATGCGAGTTAGCTGAAAAGTTACCCTCTGTGGAACAATTCTATAGTCATCGCCGCTTTCCTTAGATGATCAAAACTGATTAGTATATTACCATCTCTCCGGAGCCCATAGTTTCGGTTTTGAACGAAATCTCCGAAACGAAAGTTTGACACGAAAATAACAAAAAAACACCGGCAAAACAAAACTATGCTTTGCAAGTTTATCTGCACCGGCTACACTAAACCGTCTCAGTTCAAATACCTATAAAATTGGGCATTAAACAAAAGAAAATCTGTTAAATTGAACGCGCCACCTGTTCAGGCGGCCCGGCCCAGCCGCCGCGACCTGGACTCAGCCGCCATGTTTGTTTGGTGGTGGCGCCCCCTATAGGTCGCTGGAGTCGCGAATAGTCCGGAAAATACGGCATTTCTCCTGCTAGATGACTTTGGAAAACTGCTAAATTGGCAACACTGATGTCTGAACAGGCATGTTCAGGCTCGGGGTTATGTTTTTTAGTTGTTTTTACCCGAATTCCCCTAAAGTCATCCTGGCACTATACCACGCCGCTTGGTAGTAGTTGTTACAAAAAGACGGAGGGAAAGGGAATTGGTGGGGAGGACAAAATCATACTTATGGTTTCTAGGCTAGGTGGCACAAGCTACTGTCTGTTATAAAGGGTACAGTCATTAGCATCCATCCATCCGTGTATAAGTCACATTGAAGCGACTTCGTGTTTGGCCCAAGCTTTGGCTAAAGACTTCACCAGTATTCAATCATTGAATTAGGTAGGATGAGTGTACATGTGTTTGGGGAGGTTTACTATACTGGGCCACCAGGATGCCAAAAGTGGCACGGTGGGCTACTTGCCTTTGGTGCAAGACTTGAGCCTACTCAGGAACTCGGGAAGGTTGGAAAAAAGTGGGACAAAATGCGGTCCCACAAACATGGGTCCAAAGCCTCGAAAGTGCGACTGTCCCGCCTAAATTTGGGACATCTGCTTACTTGGGATATTTCATCCAGCATCTTTTTTTTCCTGTTCAGCTGCATTCATGTGAAAACCTTTTTTTTTTTTTTTTTTTTTTAATTCGAGATAATGAGTACTATCCTATAGCTATTAGTCCAGATTACTTTGAACTGCAATAAACAGGTGCAATTCCTTTAAGTCTGTTTAGTTCAATCGAGTTCTAAGCGTCGGTTACATTTTTATGCACATTTCTGCAGGGACTACTACACCTCCGTGGACTACTGCTTCTGCGAGTTCTACTACTGGTGCAACGCCGCTGCATCCCTCTCCCCGATGTGGATCCTACCTTGCTTCCTGGCACTAGTGCAGGTCTTGTCTATCCTGACGCACTCGAGCCTTTAGCCAACTGAAGTTTTGGCCCACCTACTGCCCAATTCCGAGTGAAATGTCACGCAACATTCCAAGAAGTTGCATAGCCTTCTTTGGCCGCATACAAAAAGTCTACTCCGTTTCACCCTACGATGGACCACAGCGGATGCTACAAGCCACCCCGGTCAGTTCGAGGTTGCGATTGCGTCACTCGACTATGTGCACCGCACATCGCCGAGTCGCGCTGGGAGGTCACGCGACACTCCCGCGGCATTTAATTGGCTTCAATGTCTCCTAGTGTCCTTGCAGTCCATGGTAAGGTGAAACGAGTATATCATACCGTCCATACTTTGTATGTCCCATCATGTGTGCGGCAATGATGCAGCACAATCAGTTTTTTTTTTTTTTGTTAAAGCTCAAGTTGACTGTACAGAAGTTTTAGCAAATCAAATCCTTACTGCTTGTACATAGTGCCTGCAAAGTTAAAAAATAAAATAAAACATTTACAAGATCAGACTGCCACTGCAGCTAGGGAGATGTATGCTCCCAAAGGCAGTTATGAATATTAACAAACAACCTCAGAAGTTTTTTAGTATGTGCCTGTTTGCAGCATAGCATTCTGCTCACCTTGCAAGTTTTTTTCATGCAAGCTATTACGGAGTATATGGTTTTACCCAAGAGTGAAAGGGAAGCAAGATCTTTGTGCCTTTTTATTATCCATCTTCGTAACGCTCTCCACGCGAGAATCTCTTATACTTTTTACACCGTCGGCAAAATAAAGATTACAATGTATACACGCTGTGTTCCTCAATGTATTGCATAGTGACACGCATCAACCTGAGAATTCTGCATTGTTCATTGGTCGCCATTTGAATGAGTCTGTACAATATGGGAGGATACCGCTGATATTGCATCTTAACCACAGTGAGGCATGATTATGGTACACGTTCAACACTGCCCCTATGTACACACAAAAACAAAACAAAAAAAAAACTGCCAGGAACTTGGAAGCATTTGGCATTGAAACAAGTATATGTACACATGACATACAAAAAACGTTAACTGACAAGTCCTAATAAATAACTGGTGGTGAACATGGCACATTTACCTAGGAGTGGGGTTTGTCCGACGTACAGACAATGGCGCGCACAATAAAAGCCTTTTCCTACGGTTCAACGATCCTCAGCTCAACAGGGCTCTTCAAAAATAGAAAAATTTCCTTTTCTGGATAAACACTGCCCATTTTGAGCTGTATAATAATGTACATTTTGTAAGGCATGTCGTAGTGTACCCAGTTATTGAGTATGCATGCAACCTGGTACTTCAACTGCACAATTAAATGAGTAAAAAAAAAATCAAGTATGTACTACATATTAGCTTTTGCGGAGGGTTATTCTCGTATGAACAGAAATCTTTTTGAAGAACCTCAGAAGTAAAACATTGCTGCCCTTCAGTAATTTGACGTCAACCAGATTAAAACTGACTCGATATAAAAAGTAAAATTTGTCTTGTGCGTTAGACACAGTTTGAAGGCACCAAGTGGAGTGCGCTCTCCGACATTCACCGGTCCTGACTCCCAGGAGCATAGTCAAGAGGTGAGCTGCCATTTTAGCCAAACATTGCAGTGTTTTGCAACATAAATCAACTGCGAAGCTCAGCATATGATTAATTTCTCGGAGTTTGCAGCTTTGCATCGAAGCTTTGTAGACAAACGTGCACCTTTTCTCAAACTACAGAGCAACTTTAGCAACTGCAACAAGTTACTAAAGGAGTGTTTACGCTTGCCTGATGAAGCGAGTGACTTGCAGCATTCCAAAACGACACCAGACCACTATCCGGTCACATTGTAAATGGCTAAAAACAGCTTCAAACTGGTCGGTCTGCATATGACCCTAACAGCGCGACTGCCAGTTTCTCTCCTCTTTGTTCGTGGCTCGATACGGAACTTATACTTTGTTACGTCCAACGTTGGACTGCAGTCAAAGCTACAAGCAGCCGGATAGAATCGCGAGCCAGTTACAAATTGTGCAGTATGTTGCTCCGACGTGCATACTTGGCCAACATACACTTCAGAGTAATATGTCGTAACTTTTCTAATTGGCTGCTTGTAACTCCGGCGTAGTCCGTCATAAGGCGACGCGAGGTATGGCGAGCCGCGCGACTTGTTGCGACTAAAATGGCTGCCGACTTCGAAAACGTGACGAGGTGCGACGACCCGAAACTAGTAGTCCGACTCCGGCACCGGCGAAGGCGGGGGTGGATGGCAGAAGCCACGATCCGTAAGCGGTGACGGAGGACAACTGACGTCCGAAACGCATCCCCGGCTCCGCGGCGTCGGCGGCGGTGGATTCGGGTCCGAGTCGTACAGGGAGTCGTCGCACCGGAACCGACACGGGCAGGGCTCGCTGTCATCACAAACGTCCGTCGAACACGGCGTGGGCATGTAGCGGTACGACCGCACCGTGGCGGGGCTCGGCGGCGGGTTGAGGGTCTCCCGCGGGTACGCCGCCGCGCCGCTCGACGCGCTCGACGATGCCGGCGGCAGTGGCGCCACCTGCGCCACCTGTGCATTGGCCACCGGCTTGGGGTACGGCAGCATCCGGTACGCCGCTCCCGGCGCGGGAACCTCGACCTCGCCGCCGCCGCGGGCGTGGTACAAGTAGCAGCAGAGCGCCACCGAGAAGAAGCAGGCCAACGCGAAGACCAGCACGACCGCCACCACGACCACCGTGGTGGTGCCCGCCTTCTCCGCGGTGATGGGTGCCCGCAGCGTGGCGCCGTCACACTGCTTCTCGTCCGAGCCGTCGGCGCAGTCGGCGCGCCCGTCGCACACGCGAGACCGGTCGATGCAGTCGTGCGTCGTGCGGCACACGACCTCCATCGAGCGGCAGCAGAACTCATCCGACTCGTCAGCACAGTCTGCGGTGCCGTCGCACAGCCGGGACTTGGCCACGCAGCCGCCGTCGTTGCAGCGAAACTCGTGGGGGCCGCACGTGGGGCAGTCGCGCTCGTCCGAGTGGTCCTCGCACTCGAAGCTCCCATCGCAGCGCCAGGCCAGCGGGATGCAGGCGTGCTTGCCGCCGGCGCACGCAAACTGCTCTGCGGTGCAGGTCGGGGCGGGCACGCACCGGCGCTCGTCACCCGCCTCGAGGACCAGCCCAGCGGGGCAGGCGCACTGGTGGCGGTCTCGCGGCCCCGGCAGGCACAGGTGGGAGCAGGAGTGGCGGACGCAGGGGTGGGCCTCGGGGCGCTCGGGGCGGCTGACCGCCAAGATGTCGCTGAGGTGGGAGCGCCGCGACAGCACCGTCCACACGCTGTCCCCCGTCTGCTTGTCGGTGCGGTGGATGCACTGCTCCGTGCGGTCCATGATGTATAGGTGCGGGCCCGAGACGGTCAGTGCATTGGCCTGTACGTTCGCCAGCAGGATTTTCCTGCGGGGCCGAGGGAGAGATGCAAAGACAAGCTGAACGCTTGAAACTCGGACGTGCATGCTGTAATGGACCTTGTTGCGGTGGAAACCCGAGAAGTTTTAGAGAGGGAGACGAAGCCTCTTGTAGTAAAGTCAGTTTTTCTGGCAAAACTAAAATATTTTCGTCTTTGCATACCGAGTACTCAGCATCATCAAAAAACACTAAATCAACAAATTGCAGAACGATAGAAGGCATGCAAAGCATTTTACGGCTTTCTGAAAAACCGCACAAATTCGACTGGTTTTTAAGTTTCGGTTTGCTATCGGAGCACATCTCGTCCCCGGTAGCACCACGCCCTGTGGAGATATAGTGCAACCAACCTCTGCTGCGCTGCCATCGTGCAACGCAGCAGAGGCTGGCCGCTTTATCTCTCCACGAGGCGCGGTGCCGCCGGGGCCGAGATGCGCTCCGATAGCAAACCGAAACTTAAAAACTCGTTGAATTTGGGCAATTTTTCAGAAAGCCGAAAAATGCTTCGCATGCCTTCTATCGTTCTGCAATTTCTTGATTTAGTGTTTTCCGATGATGCTGAGCACTTTTCTAATTGAAACCATGCCCTTAAACACAATATTAAAAAAGTTAATTACACAAAAATAATTAACAATCTAATTATCCCAGACTTTAATAATTTTCTTAAATAGGCCCCTGGCCCAGGACTAAAACGACACAAGCCTTTTTTTGTGGCGACGGATCGTTTTTACAATATCGAATTTGTCCACCTTTTGTGAAACACCCTGTATAGCAAGTATCATGTATGCCACGAAATAGGCACACTCGAGTTCCCAAACAATACAGACATTTATTTTATCAAAACAAATTTGCAAAATTTTACAGTGAACTAATTACAGATCAGCATAAGTAGCCTTTCAAAGAGCTTATCATCGAGGCATCGATGATTGGGTCACCATACCGAACTAACGAATGTGAAAAGGTTCTACTGCTGCCGATAAACATAAATCTGTGTTAATACAAATTAAATAACGGCTAGATGAAAGGGAAGGAAGTCCTGGAGCATTGAGACGTCCTCCCAAGGGGTAGTCAAAAAAGCGAAGGACTTTTGCCCTCACATGGGCCTGTCCTGATCTTGGTAAAGACAAGGAATCACAGTCTTCAAAGTCGTAGAAGACGCGGTCTGCCCTAAATGAGCCCCATTTTGCCTCTTCCTGTGTGTAGCATTATCATTATCAGTTTTGCCATTAACTTCAAATGTGAGAGTGTATCGAAAACTGCCGTCTTAAACACACTAAAAAAGAAAAAAAATATATTTTTTTATTTTTAAACAGCCAACAAAAATTACAAAATAAATTTGCTGCAAATATATATTTTTAAAATATTTGTTTGTACAAGACTTATTTGGTAATATTTGTAATTTTTCCAGGTTGTTTAAAAATATTATAGAGCCCTTCTGCTTAACGTGAAGATGGAGGACCAGCGAAGCTGCTATTTTTACGACGTCTAGGGCGATGCATAGAGGACGACGTCTGGTACGACCTCAAGGACGACGCCTTAAAGATGACGACTAGGACGACCTCAAGGACGACTTCGAGGACGATGCCTAGGACAGCCTCAAAATGACGTCTAGGACGACCTCGAAGACGACACCTAGAGGACAACCTCAAGGACGACCCCGAGGACAACACCTAGAACGATCTCTTGGACGACCTCACAAACAACTTCTACGACGACCTCGAGGACGATGCCTAGAGTTGATAACAAGGGATCAGGACCTCACTATCTATACTCCGTTTCACCTTCAGTCCGAGCGCAGTGGACGCCACCAGCCATCCCAACCGATCCAGCGCCGGGAGAAAGTCGCGTGACCTGCCGGTGGGGCGGGGCGACACAGGGAGCTCAAGGTCGCATGACACTCCCTCAACGCCGCATTGGCTGGGATGGCTCCTAGCGTCCGCTGCGCTCGGACGGAAGGTGAAACGGAGTATAAGAATGCCAAGGAAGGCTGACTTACGCTGGTTGCCCCCTCTTTTTATTTATTCATACTTGCCACAACCAGTGGGGAGTTTCTTGTCAACACCTGCGGACGCAATTTTTTCCCAGATCCTAGCACATAACAGCTTCGCTGTAAAAATTCTTTTTCCTTTTCAATGTCTTTTTAAGAGCTTCGAATCAACCCAGGAGGGGGGGAGAAAGAGATTGGACAAGGCAGCGGGGCCCAGGCAAGCGCAAAAAATGAGAAACCAGAGAAAAACAAAAACCATTTTCAAACCACTTTTTTTTTTTGTTTCTTTTTTTTTAATTTTGGCGATTTCTTTGTATGATATGCAAGGCAACCTCTCTCTCTCCCCCGTTCCCTCTCTTAGAGGATTTTATTTGCCAGTTTCGTATTATAAACAAAAAAAGTGACTGCATTGCATCAGTCAATTTTTGACAACACATGTATCGAGATACATATAAAGATACTCGAAAGCATCTCTAAGATACTATCGCTGTACTGCCCAGCCCTTGCGTAAACCAATGATTACTACGGTACTATGGAGGAGAGCCCACCTCCCGTCGCCGGTGACCCTGATCCTCTCGACCCTCCTGAGCTCCAGGTCGGACCAGAAGAGCAGATCCCCCTCCGCGTCCACGGTGAGGGCGCCGGGGGCCCTCAGGTCGTTGGAGACCAGAGTCTTGCGGTTCTTGCCGTCCAGGTATGCCCGCTCGATGAGTGCCGGGTTCACCAGGTTCGTCCAGAAGAGCAGCCTGCACCCAGAGTAGCCGCGGGCAGCGCTTGAGGTCACTGCCAAGCCGCTAAAGTCCCGTCCACGCGCTCGCGTTTGCTTACAATCGAGTTTTTGTGATCCCTCACGACGAGAGAACACATTGGCCCGCTGGCCCCATCTATGATCTGACCCTAGAACTGCATTTCACTACTGTGAAATCACGTAAGAATGCCCTATCAAAACGGAGATAAATGGTGAAAAACACGAGGGGGTCATCTTTGAAGATGAGATGGCAAAACTTTATAAAAAATTAACGATAAACGCCGGAGCACCCCACTACCAACCATGTTACATGGAAACCGATGCCGCAGATTGCGGGCATAGCAAATTCGTGTCTTACGACGCAATAAACAACTAGGCATTCGCTACCAACTCCTGCGTCATGGGACAAGATACCGCAAATAGCGGACGCAGCAGATTTGCGTTTCACTGTGTGACATACCCGCGGAAACCCACTTCGAACTTGCGTGCCACAAGAATCGATATCGCGCACGCAGATTGCAAAGATAAAACCCGGGAACCTGCCACAAACTCGCACGTCGCAGGAACGGACGTCCCGGGAACCGATATTATGCACGTAGATCGCGGACAAAAACGCGAAAACCCGCTACGGACTCGCTCGTCACACATACTGGTACTGTAGGCCTTGCAGTTGACGCAATTCCTGCCAGACGTCGCATGCTGTCCGACGGGAACCGGGGGGTGGACGACATTTTCAAGGCAGAGCGAAAGTTTTGCGGTATTTGCAGGATCGAATGTACAACTATCTACGAGAAGTGGTCGTTTGTAACCGTCGGAAGATTTTCGAGCCAAGAAAGTGAGGACGATGTGCAAAAAAGATGCGAAATATACAGTTTTTGTAGGATCAATGTGACGGGACAGGCACACAAATAAGAAACAGGTCTCGGACAACGCCTGCACTCTTGTTTACGCATTATCAGCGTGAGCGCAGCATTAGGGATTGTGAGAGCTCTCAACGCACTCGGTCATAAGCGGTCGCAAGTGTGTGAGCCATTGAAGTGGATTTCGAGTTTGTCTTCTTACGACGTAAACTCAATCTATGTGTACCAAGCAACCCAGAAAACCAAGAGATACCATCGTGCATGGCCTTTTCTTGCATTTAAAACGCAACCAATCGCAAGAGCACATCCCTTTTCTGAGATGTATCTCAGAATAGGACATGTCAGTATGTTTGGGTGCACTTTTAATAGGGGAAAAGGCCGAGTTAACATTGTGAAAAGACGAATTTTCGACAGTAAATGATTTGCCTTAAAATTAGTTCCGACACATCAATAGGCACATTTGAACTAGTAACCCAAATTACAGGCCACAATAATTTCTTTGCAAAGTTATTTTTTCCCCCACGGGTTACAAGAAGTTTGAGGGTGTGAAACGAATGCTGGCTCACGTTGGCAGAGCAAAAAAATACATGCACCAAATATCGTTTTTTTTTTTTTTTTTTAAACTGCCTGCTTGATTTAAAGGTCATACAGCACGTGGCGCCAGTCCACCAGAGTGTGCAAAAAAAGTTTAATGTTGGTTTTGGCGCAACCTTCATTTGCCGCCTTTTCCGTAGCTATTTCGGAAATGCAGATAATAAACGGCGTACGACAAAGAGTAAAGCCTCGGCTTTCCAGAACTGTCTTTGGTTTGAGTAGCTCAAAGAGCCACCGGAGGTCTAGGGGGCGTGGCCTCACCCCTGGTGGGGGTGGAGGGCGAGGAGCCTGGGCCGCTCGTCCTTGCCCCCCAAAATGACCCCGAGGGGCCTCCCGTCATCCAGCGAGGTGGCGTTGATCACGTTGCCCAGCGCACAGGTCCAGAACAGCTGCCGCCCGTAGGGGTCCAGGGCCAGGCTGTGCGGGTGCAGGGCCTCCCCAGGGTTGCCCACCACCACGGAGCTCTGGGCACAACCGACACACAATCGAGACGGGACACGGGGAGAGGCAGGATACAAAAAGATAAGACGGAATGGGATGAAGGATACGAGGAAACGGGACATGAGGAAAAGAAGGCGAGACACGAAGGGTCGGAACACAAGAGAACGAGGAAGGGGAGGGTACAGAAAAGGGGGACACGGGATAAGAGAGGAAGATTTGAAAAGGGCATACGGGAAAACGGAATATTGGAAAATGGGATATGGGAAACGGGGTACAAGAAAATGGGATAGGGGGAAAGGAGATGCAGAAGAGATACAAGAAAAGGGGAAACAAAAGGACAGAATAAGAACACAAGGTATAAGGAAATGGAATACGAGAAAAGGGGATATAAGAAGTGGGGACACACAAAAGGGGGATACCTTTGCACTAGTTTGCCAAAGTAAAAAAAAAAAAAAAAAATCTTCGATGGTAACTTTATACTAGCCAACACAAAATTTATGGTCTCTCTACACTTAGCCAGACACACTCATGTTTCGTGGACTCTACACTAGTTAGCCAAAATAAAAAAAAATGATGTCAAAATCACTTTTCAATGAGATGCGTTAGCAATTAGTGCAGGGATTCCGACACAGCGAAGGGTGCGAATTCCAACCTCGTAACGATTCACCTACTGTTTGCTCTTTGATCGTAAATCTTGCGCTGAAGAATGACGAGCAGGAAGCTTCTTGAACCTTTGGGCATTGTGTGCGCCACTTGGATATGTGTAGTTGCATTAATTTTATAATGCCAGCGCAGTTTCAATGTGGCCGTGAGCTAGCAGATGACACGACAACTGGGATGACCAAGGTACGTATGTACTGTATTTACTCGCATAATGAATGCACTTTTTTTTCCCAAAAAATTGGCACATATTTGGGGGGTGAGTTTATTACACGGGGAAAAATTTTTGCATTTACACACTTTACACAAATATTGTTTTAGGTGCCAATATGACATGGCACGGTACTGTGGCACGTCTCCACTGACGAAGGTGCACCCATGGCTGGTCGTGGACGTGCCACAGTAACCATGCTCTATAAATTGCAAACTCTTTTAGGGCACTTTTGGCATGCCTTTTGCCAAAGAAAAAGCGCCCTACGAAGCTCACTCAGCTCAAAGTGCCACCAACCATTCTTAGGCCTAACTACTTTCACGATATCACTGTTCGAAAGCGGATCACAGAAGACAGCGTGTTTGTTGACATCAATGCATCCAACGGATGAAGCACGCCCGAGGCTAGGCAATTCCTTGACTCCAGCTTCGCTAGGCGTGCACGCCGCTTGGTTTCATGGTTGATGATTTCCGCAACCATGCAATTCTAACAATTACGAGAGCAGCTTGGCTTGGCTTGACTTGGCCTGGCCGTTTGGCAGCAAAAGATGGACACAGTTCAAGACTCGCGGAACCGAAAATTAACTGTTAGTTCATCATGCAAGAAAAAAAAAAAGAAGTCAAAATACTATTAAAGGGCAACTCCGCTTGATTTCGGAAATTTCGAGATAGTGGGTGATATAAACGTGGAAAGTACTTCAAAACAACCCTAGACCGTTTGTCTCATTAAAAGCAAAATATTTTTCGTGCAATCTTGTTATTTACCACAATCGCAAACCGAAACTGAAACTTCGGCACAGCCGGGCAACATTGTACTCCCAACGTCAGTTGCATACGCACCCACGTGGAATACAAGGGGTCACGTGATCTACTAGCGGTAACCCAAGACAGACGCGGATGCGAGGGGAAGGGCGAGGAGGGAGGAGGGAGGGCGGGCCTAGCCGCGGCGGCGAACAGGCAACGCAAGCAGCAACGAAGCAGGCTATGTAGGCGGCAACCCAGGCGGCTAGTCGGTTGGCACCGGTTGGCAGGTGTGTCAGCGAAACTCATCACCGTACAACTCTCTCTTCCTCTTTTTGTTTCTCTTGTTCTCGTTCTTTTTTTTTTTTTTTTTTTTGTCTGTCTTGCCTACTCATCTTTATTGTAGTAGGCTCGCCTCTTTGCTTGCTCAAACGTGGAGCGCGTCCTGGCGCCACCCGGTAAGCTCTCCCTGGAAAAGAAAATACCCAAAAAAAAACTGCGTATGCAACAGACGTCAGCCACAACGGAAATACAACGTTGGCTGCGCCGCACGTCGCCCGCTAAATTAGCGGATGTTGGTGACTTCGCGCATCTCAGTTTTTGTCTGCCGGTTTAGTGATCTTTTAGGCGGTATTACGTTATAATATTTGACATTCGGTCTCTCTAGATGACACTAAAGAGAGTCGCAGTGTTTGGTAACAACCGAGAATGAAGCGGAGTTTCCCTTTAATGCTTGTCGTGGGGGGTGCGTTCATTATGGGAGTAAATACAGTGTGCGCTTCCGAGCGATTTGGGAGATGTACAACAGCACACTTGCGGTAAACCGCGCCTCATGTTGTCGCACATGTCGCACCCCCGTAAGAGCGAGAAAAAGTGGATGTAACAAGCAAACGAACAGAGCGAAAGAGCTGTGGCGCGAAGTGAGCTGCGGGCCCCATGAAACCAGTTCAGTCCAAACGAAAGACGGCCGCATGCATTTAAAAATTTCGCGATACTTTGAAACTAACCAATACAAACTGCACGGTCCCACTACGCTTACCGTAAAATACCCGGCGAGCGCCCACCCAAAGCTTTTGAGATTATCGCAAAAAATTTTACTTATAAATGTACTGTGCATATTTTCTCAAATCTTACAAATTTGGGAATGAGCACTTAGTATGGAATGGCCAGATGCATGGTATTCTAAGGTAGTCACCAACACTGACGTTATGTGGCCCCCTTTTCACCGACGTCTTTCCGAGCAAGAACGACGCACTCCGAGAGTGGACGGGACACCCACCCCGGTTCCGTTGTCGTGGCTCCTGCGGATGGTGCGTGCCTTGCCGTCCACCCAGTAGACAAAGTTGGAGACAAAGTCGTACTCCAGGGCCCGGATGTTCTTGAGCCCGTGGATGGGAAGCACCACGTCCGGGGAGTCCTCCACATCCACCTCGATGCGGTTGATCACCGTTTTCTGGCTGAACAGCAGGAAGCTCGACGGGCCTGCAGCCGCCCAAGAGGATTGGTACTTATGTAAAATACAGGGTGGCACAAGCTAACCTTCTGCCGTAAAACGAACCGGAAAAACCGGTGCCTGCACGTGGGAAGTTTAAACTTTCACCAAATAGGCGTTGAAAATGCCAGTTTTATCGTGTGAAATTTCAAGGCGTAGTTCTCGTCCTGTAAAAATAATTAGAGCGACAAACTTGCCAAAGTCGACGTCGGGCATGTTCGCAGACGGCAGTGTTAGCAACGCCAGAGAATTCTGGCGCCCTCTTTCGATAAGTGCAGCGAGCAGACAACAGAGTGCGTCATCTGCTTGCCGCTCCCATCGGAAGATGGCATCACGAGTTCATAGAGTCTCTAACTCGGTTGTCTGCAAACGTGCCCGACAATGACTTTGGCAAGTTTGTTGCTTACATTGGTTTACAGGACAATTTTACATTCTTACAGCGGAACTGTTAAGAGCTAGTTTCCCCATTATTGTGTCTGGGTGCAAACAAAGGTCGACACAAAACTCTGGAAGCCGGTTGTCTGGTTGCCGCCGTCACTCATAGATGGCGGCAACCTTTCCGCTCTGGTTTTCACCAGAGTGGAAAGAAGAGAGCGTCGTTTTGACGTTGGTTGTAACGACTGTTTGTGTTGCTGTTTCTGTCCCTAGCAAGCATGCAACTTCTAGCAAGCCTACCCCAGTGACAACTTCAAAATATATTCGGGAACCCCCTGTTTCACTGCACCGTGAGGACCGTTATACACGACAACTAGAATGGGGCATCTAGGAAGGAAATGATCATGAACCGTCGCAAGATTTATTCTGTCAAGTAAACCAAAGAGAATTCCACGTGGTGAACTGTAAACCCCTAGAAAGCAGAAAGCTCTTTTTCTTTTAATACCGGAGTGGCAAAATTACATTCGTCTCTGTTAAGATGCGTTTTTATTGACACAAACACGTACTAGGAACCAGATGCACTCCCCCGTTAAAATTCGGCGTGTTATGTAGTGTTATGTCATTCAGCGTGTAATGTTACGTTATCTCGTAGTACAAATAGGTTGCATGCCGATCAATCTATCTATGAGAAACTGAGCAAATAAACTATTTTAAGCAGTCACTGCTATTACTCTGCCCCACTAAAACATAACAGTGCTACCTCCAGCTCTCTTCAGCATAGCTGATTAAAGGCTCGTTTAGACTTGCAGATAAGCGGGTAAATACGTGCGAAATTTGACGCCACACGACAAAATCGGCTTGCCGCCAGCCAAATATTCTGCCCTGAGAGCAATCGGTCCGGGACTAATTTGTTCTCGCGTGGAGAAAGTTGCAGTGCTGCCGCAGCCAATCGGAACGTAAGGAGGAAATGGCGTTCGCTGACATCACATATTGGCCAGGTCGCCCGAGTTATCAAAGTTGCCGCCAGAGTTGTTGGAGACTCTAACTTGTGCAAATGGTGCCATTTCGCTGGTATCGTGGTGTTGGCAGAAGCACTTGTCGAGTTAAAAGAATGATTCAACCCACTTCGAAAAGAGAAATCTGCACAACAAAGACAATGCCCACAAAGACGATCTGCAGAATAAAACTGGTGTGAGCGGAACATACACGCGTTGTCTCCAGTTTTTCATTGTTTCATAATTGCGTTGTCTCGGCACTCTGAGCAGCTCCTGATTTCATACCGCGGAGCCAGCGTAGCAGTGAAGTGTTGACTGCACAAGGGAGCCTGCGAGAACAGTTTTTCCCACACCGCACAGGTCAGCGGCTGTCTTCTCCGATATCCGCGAGAGTGGCAACAAATGTGAACAGCACCGTGTACCTACGCCAAGCAAATTCGGTCGGCGGTGCGAGAGTTTTTTGCAAGTGTGAAATTGAGGCCAAGCCAGACTTACGCAGGCAAGTCTTGTTGTTGGGCCCGAGCGGCTGGTGGGTGGGACAGGCACATTGGTATCCCCTGGGCCCGGGGACACCGAGGCAGAGATGAGAGCAGCCGCCATTGTACAAGGCACACTGGTTCCACCCTGAAAAAATGCAGAAGTCGCCCAAAACACTGAGTCATCTTCACCCCTTTTTACAGTGAAGCTGTTAAGGGCTAGTTCCCCCACTATCGTGTCCGCAGACAAGCGGCGTGTCGACACAAACCTTGAGCCAGTTCACCGTCGCCCTACGTCATGGTCTCACCTACCAATTGTGTGTGTCCTGTGTCCAGTGACGTCGAGATCGCTCTAGCGCTGTTATCAGTTGCCCTTTAAACTCACGGTGAATCGGCCGCGTGCGTTTGCTCGTTCAGAGAAAGAGCGGGAGCACGAGGAGCGGGCGACGTGCGTAGCACTGTGAATGACCACGCAAACGCCGCAAAGCCACTATCGCCTCGAGTTCCACTGCATCGAGTGGTTCCGCATCTCTCGCGAAAGGAGAGCAGATCGCTCGCCTGGAATGTCGGCGACAACAGAAGCGGCGATGTGACCGGCGCCGGTGGGCCAACGCCACGTACGACGATCGTGCCACAAAAGCCAAGAGCTAGCCCGAGGCCCTGCGACGACAAGACGCCATGCCGGCTGAACAGTTTTTACAAACACCTCAATCCCACCACAGTACAGCTTTGCTGGTCTTCCATCTTCACCAGAGTGGAAAGGCTGAAAGTTTTTTTTATTGATCAATCGATACCTCTTTCTCTCCATCGATACCTCTTTCTCTCCATCACAGAAGTTCTACATATAAAGCCAATCTTTCAGTAAACAGACTTTACCTCTACTCAAGAGGCATATTTATTTATTTATTTAATTTATGGGGTGCCCCTAAACAGCCCATAGGCCTACAGAAGAGTGCACCTTCTGCCAAAAATATGGTTTCTAACGAAAAAAAAAGAAAAAAAGTTGGTGTTGCACAAAATATGCTGCGAGAAAAGTGGTGCGCAAAAAGAATTAAACAACAAACATTGAATACAGAACATAAAAAAAAGTATGATCTGTCATTGTAAAAAAAAAAAAGAGAGAAATGCACACAAGATGACTGACTAAACAACATCAAATGTGCTAAGAAAATAAAATAAGTAATTCACTTAAAGAAGTTTGGGCAGTAATCGCATACTATAATTTTCACGCATAAAAATATCTACCTAAGACGAGCTTTCCACTTTCAATCCATTAAAATTAGATTGAATGCGTTCAAAAGGTCACATGCACTTTGGCTGTGATCAACTGAATATGCGATGGGAGCAAGGAGTCCTATTTGGTACAGCGATACCAAGACTACAGTATGGAAAGAACCCCCACCCAAAATTAAGAGATAAATGGTGAAAACCATGCAAGGGGGGGGGGGGGGGGGGGGGGGGGGAAAGGCTATGTTTACGGATGTTACAGCAAAACTTTTATCAAAAATTAATGATAATTTCTGGCACCGGTCACAAACCATTTGACGCGGAAACTGAAACCGCAGATCGTGGACACCGTAAATTCGCACTTCACGATGCGATGAACCCGCGGGAATTCACTGCGAACTCCTGTGTCCCGGGAAAGGATACCGCAGGTTGTAGACGCAGCAGATTCGCCTTTCACGGTGCGAAGGACCCGCAGAAACCCTTCTAGAACTCGCATCTCACGGGAACGAATAGTCCAAATCACGGACGCAGTAGTAGATTCAAGTTTTATGGTACAATAAGCATGCGGGAACCAGCTACAAACTTGCCTGTCACGAGAATCAATATCGCACAAGCAGATCGCAGAAAACAAAGTTGAGGACACCTAAGCACTTCTTACGAGTTGTGAATGCAAAAGCATGAATGTCGTTCTTCCGCTCCCTTAGTTCGTCTGCCGTGTAGTGGCATGGACGGCCACGTTTCGCTACTGTCGAGGTTCTCAGCGCCATGTTCCTCGGTGCCGAGAGAAGCAGAAGTGGCAGCCAGTCCCCCACAGCCTCCGGCAACGCTCGACACAAAAGCGGCGGCCGAGCGCGCGCTCTCGTGAAGCGGCCGCCAATGGCTATCTAGGAGCCGTTTCGCTCGGCCATTGGGAGAATGGCCATTTGTTTCGCGTTTTTTTTTGCGATTACAGATGCCACTGGCTCCGCTCCATGGGATAGTTAATGCTTTTGCCCTAAAAATGCACACATGTTGCATTGTTGCATAAGGCACACTGACAAAAGTTAAAAAAGAAAAAAGCACTACCTTTGCAACGTAAAATACAGTGGACATTTATATGACTACCTTTCAGACCTCCAGCACATTTTGGGGCGACACATAAAACTTTCTAACACCAAAAAAAAAAAAAAATGTGCCGGCGTCACACGCACCAGCCTGCCGTGATGTGTGGAAGACCAGAATGTCGTCGCTGTACTTGAGCTGGCCGAGCAGACGCGTGCGGTTGGAGCCGCTGCTCTTGTCTGCCCGTTCGATGCTCTTGGTCGCCAGGTCCGTCCAGTAGATGTACTCCTGGTACTGTGTCAACCCATAGGGCCTCAGTGCTTCCGAGTGCACCACGACACGCCGCCCGTCCCCTGCAACCGAAGCAACGTGCGACATCATTGCCATGCCTCGGCAGATTTGCTCACGAACTTGCTCAATCAAACTCATCTCAGACTCGCAGTGCGATTGTGAATGACACTCAATGACACGATTAACGTTACTCATCAATTACATAACATCACACTGTGAACTTAACTATCGATTGCTCACCTAACATCACCAATCTTAACACTACATTGTGAGCAGGGTTGGGCAGTATCGCGATACAAATGTATCGCGATAGTATTTCAGATATACATTTCGTATCTGTATTTCTGTATCGCGATACATTTTTTTCAACAGTATCTGTATTCCTGTATCAAAATACATTTTGAATGCTCCTTTGTATTGCAATACAATCAGGGTGAAACGTATTTCGTTACATTTCTTGAGAAATTCTCTTTTTTGAGGGCACCAGGGCCAAGGAGGTGCTGGGGAATTGTTACCATGCCTGACCAAGGTTCCTTCCGATTCTCCAAACTATTTTCCTATGCGTCCTCTTTTCCCTTCTGAGAAGTTTTGCGTAGTCGGGGACTCGAACTAGGTGGCGTGCCAGGAGTGGAGTCAGAGCATCTTCTGCCGCAGGTCCTTAGGTAGGAATTTCTTGAGTTATTATTTGCTGACATCCAATGCCCGCTGCTAACTGTCTCTCTTGCCTTAGCGCACGCAGTACACCCGGCCGGCAAAGCTGAGTCACAGTCCGTTGCAGCAAGAGCCGGGCGGTGGTTGACTTGAAAGAGTAGGATGACTCACGCAGTGAAGTTCAACACATATTCGAATGCAGCTGCGCTCGTAATATTGCACTGCTCAAGGCTACGTCATCAGCCGACCTGAAAGTAACCCGCTTCTCTGGTGATCCGAAACCCAGGAAGGAAGTCAGACGTGGCCTCACTGTGCCGACCCAGACTTCATACACCTGCAACTCGTCTCGAGCTCGCTGTTTCTCGGAGAGCTCGCACTTGTGCCGGCAATATCAGGTCGCAGTCCGCGACGTCTCTATTTGGAGTATGTAAGTCAGAACTTGTGGAGTGCAATCCATGCGTCGGTGGCAGGGGGTCGACAGGAAAGACTTTTACAACAGGGATGCCACCATATCGTTTTTTAACCGTAAGAAAAGATAAGACAGGTGTTCCAGGATGCTTCAGGTAGTCCACTATTCTCGAAAAATCCAAATGACACTGCATGCACGATCTTCAACGAGGTAACCTACGACGAAAGTATGTATTGCCCTTTCATAGAGCAGCGTGCTAAAGTTTCATGTTCCTGGTCACACCTACAGATAAAGAATGCCAGTTTATTCCACCGTGACGTCATGTGATAAATGCTGACAGGAGCGTCCTTAGTGAACAGGGACGTGGTGATTTTGGATTACATATAATTTATTTAGAAATCGGTCTTTTCGCACTGTTCGAGGCGGGGTTTAGGCCACACGTCCGGTAGCTTCCTGGCTCGAGACGACGACCATTCCCCGAAGTGAAGAACCCAGGGGTTCAGTGGAGGTGGGAGACTTGGTAACGTAACGAACGGTTTAATTACATGGTAGCGATACAGTCGTCAAATCCGAGAGAACAACGGAGCAGCCTCGCGCTCCGCCTTATATAGGGTCCGTTTCTCCCTCACTCCCCGCCAGGGCAGCAGGTGCGATGCAGCAACCCGCCGTCAAGTGCGATGCAGCAAAGTCCGCTGGCCCAGTGCGACGTAGCCAAAGTTCTCCGCAGTTAGGCCATGCCTCTCTCCCTTTTCCGAGCGCACCAACCACCACGCACACACACACGTCCCGCTAATGTCACGGGCGCGTTGAGACTTGTTGCCGCAGGCCCCGTCACGCAGGCGACGGTCCCGGACTCGTCGGGACTCGTTTCGCGCAGGCCCCGACAAGCGGGCGACGGTCCCGACAAGCAGGCGACGGTCCCGGACTCGTCTTGACTCGTATCCGCAGCGTTGAAACTCGGAAGAAGGTCGCCGAAGGTTCCATTCTTAACAGCACCCCTCATTAGACAGACAGGATGTCAGGGAAGGGACCGCAGTCAGTCCTTGATGGAACGTTTTTTCAAGCCCATTGAAGACTCCTCGTCGTCCGAAATCACTACCTTCAAGGCAAAGTGCCAAGCCTACGGTAAAATAATTTCAGATAAAAAAACTTCCACCTCCAACTTCAAGGCTCATCTCATTTGGCATCTCAAAATAATTTCAAAAATGTATTGCAGTATCAGTATTTCTGTATTTGTATTTCTGCCCTCCCAAAAATGTATTCCTGTATTTGTAATTCCAAATACTTTTTGCCTCTATTTAAAATGTATTTCCGATACGTATCGCGATACACTTTTACAGATATATCTCAGTACAGTATAGACCACTTACAACGTAACCGCTTATAGTGCAGGACCGGGTATAACGCGGTTTTTTTAAACCACCGGTTCGCCTCCCATAGAACTCCATGTAATTACATACCGCTTAAAATGCAGGCGCGCGAAGGGAAATACCGGTTATAGTGCGGTTTCTGGCACAGCCCGCCGACCGCGCCGACGACCGGAGCAGCGAGCACGCTTCCCTGTGCGACACTAGATAACTGCGCTGACGGCGCGAGCCGCAAGCGTTGCGCAAGCGGCACTCGCGGGGCAAGGAGGTTGTTCGAAGAAGTGGGAGAAGCGAAGAGAGAGGTTTCAGTTGCCCTAGCGACGGAGGGACGCACGCACGTTTCGTTCACGTGCGTGCGTCCCTCCGCTGCGTTAGAAACCAACAACCGCAACGACAGACCAATCGCAGGTCGAGGAGAAGTGTTCGCGCGCGTTGCATGCATGCCGGTCGCGGGCCGGCTGCTGGTTGTGATCAACGTTGTGATCGTCGTCGTAGACGGCGTTCATCTCATCGTTCCGCATAAAAGCGCTATCCTTGACTGAATTTTCGTTGTGTGTCGCTATGATAACCCAGCACGTACCAGAAGGGAAGATCCACCTACTCGAGCGGCGATGTCGTGGCGGCGCTCTCAAGACGGCAGAAACGCCCGTGTCGTCGTGTTTGTTTACTTCGACTACAGTGGTGATTTCTAAGCATTTGTGTCCTCGAACATCGCCCGGATTTCTTATTTGGCGCATTTCATGCGTGTGCTCAAGTTCAAGGTATTACTGGCGCATACCGTATGAAGGATGCGAATTTTCACGCGTTTTCATCTCCGGAGAAAAGTGATTAGGGTTAGCAATCCTGAACGCTCGCAACGTCCGTCCGCAACCCGCGACGCCGCTAAAAGGCTGCGCCAGGCAAAAGCCGCTCATTTCTTTCAAAATGTGTGACACACTTGAGAGAGAAGTGTACTAGTCTGGTGAAATAAAGACTTTCCTCAAACTAAGCTTTATTTTTCATCTAACATAAAGTAAATTCTTTTACAAAGGTATAGTTGTCTTATGGCATGTATTTTGGCCTGAAAAATTGATGTTTCGGTTATAACGCGGTACCGCTTATAGTGCGGATTTTCGCGACTCCCGCGACATACGTTATATGCGGTCTACACTGTATCAGTATTTTAGCTACTATTTTCAGGTATCGCTGTATTTGTATTTCCAAATACATTTTTGAGTATTTCTGCCCAACCCTGATTGTGAGTTACTTATCGGTCACTCACTTAACATCACTTATCAACCAGTTAACATTACTTGAACGTAGAGTCACTTGTTAATCACTCACTCAGCATTGCTTAACATCGCACCGTGAACTTGTCAGAGTTCATCTGATGTAAGGTGATTTTGTGATTTCAGAATAAGTGGTGATACGATGGCATTAATTTTTTTGACACGACTGCACTGCACAATGTGATAAGAGACAAGATTATAACACGGCTGAACCGCACGATGTGGCAGGCAGTATGTTTCCGTCGCGGCCAAACTTCGTGAAGCGAAGGACCACTGCTTTCAGACATCGGTGTCCTCTGCAGAGTGAATGCAAATTAATTTCAATGGGCCTGAGGTCTACCGATGCAATGGTTCCTAAGTGCCACCAGCTTCTCTAAACAGCAACACCGGATGGACCGTCAAATATCCGGATCAACCCTGCGAGTCGAGTTATGCGAAGAAAAAACACGGGGTACCGGACATGTCGCTCGACTCGATGAGGTTGGAGTCGCTGGCGGTCCAGTAGAGACGCCGGTCCACATGGTCGATGGTCAGGCTGTTGGCCCGGGCGATCTTGGTGATGAGCCGCACCCTCTGGCTCCCGTCCAGGGCGGCACGCTCGATCCTCGGTGTTTTGCCCCAGTCGCTCCAGTACATGAACCTGCGGCAGGTTAGACAAGGCTTGCAAGGCGCCTCCCAAATGCTCGCTTCGTCCCCGGCTTTCAAAAGAGAAGCCACTGGATGCTGCCACTTGAGAAAGGCTTGGAACGTTTGGTTTTCGGCGACCGTTGAGAGGCTATAAATTCCCCGCTTGTTACCCAAAAATTACCAGCGACCTTTGTCTCCAAAGTGCTGTAACGCACGTGGGATCATTTAAGTTTGTTTACGAGACGTTAATTAAACAGCTGTTTCGGGCAGTGAAAAGGAACGTAGTGCGTATTAAGGGGGGACACGGGCTCCAATTCCCGATTTTTTTTTAAAAAGTGCATTTTTCAAATTTGTTATATCTGATTTCAGAAACTAATAATGCACCCTTCCATAAAATTTCATGCCCGTACGTCGAGTATTTAAGCAGATATAAAAGATTTTCGACAGGTCGGCGACGCGCCTCCTATCCCCGAGTCGTTCCGTCGCGCGATCGGTTGACTATATTCGCCATTTTCAAATGCCGACCGCTCCGCGCCCATTTGGCCTACCGCGATGTTGATACCCTCGTTGGAAGCGTCGTTTCTTCGGGCTTTTATGACGATAGTAAACTTCGTTCGAGAGTAAGCATGAACAAAGCCAGAGCCCTCTAGTTGTCGGCTATAATTGGCTTAAAAACGAAACTCAAGCCTGGATTGGTCCGTGACACCCCACGTGATCCGCTCGCCCGAATTGTTGTTTTGTCTCGTTGCTTCGGCCGAACGTTCGCTTCTTTTGCTTGCTCGTTATATATTTCTCACAGTTTTATCGTTTTATCTACGGTCTCGTCGCCGCGATGCCGGCCGTTAAACGGCATTCCCTCCAAGCCTTTGGAGCTCGCCGCCGTTCTGTGAAACCAAGAGGCTCGTCAGGTGGACGCGTACGATGCGCTAACCCTAACGGAACCACGTCGGACGCGTCAGCTGCTTCGCTCCCGAGCGCGTCACCATCTCCCGGTTCGTCGCTTCAGGACCTGACCTCTGAACAACCAGCCGACGTTTCTTCGTCTCTTCCTGAAGATTATGAGGTTGTGGAGGAGCTCACGGCGATAGAGCGCAAGATCTCGCTACTGCAAGAGAGCGATCCCGCTGCGGATCCCACGGACGCTCCCGCTGCTCCCGACGGTGCCCCAACCGAAGGTTATCGTCTGGTTGCTTTATCTGCCATCGAGACACTGGTGTCCGCTCTTCTGTGCCCAGTGTGCCGTGGATCAGACCTTCAGCTAAGCGAGAGTGGCAAGGGAGTTCAGGCGCAATTCGTCGTCGTCTGCCCAGACTGCGGGGACGTCGCTCGGACGCCGCACTCGTCGACCATCGGACACTCGCGGCAGAATGAATTGGCAGCACGGATTTCTCTTGCGTCTCGTGAATGTGGAATCGGATACACGAAGCTTACGAACTTTTTTGCCGGTATCAATGCTCCTTCGCCCATGCATCTCCGATCTTATGAAGATCTGGGAGAAAAGGTCCACGACGCCTCAGTGAGAGCAGCCAGCAACGTAATGAGCAAGGCAGCAGAAGCTGTACGAGAAACACGCGAGTCAGATAGCGGCGATTTGATGGACGTTTGTGTGACATACGATGGCACTTGGCATAAGCGTGGGCACACTTCACACTTTGGTGTTGGAGTTGCCATCGAGCTTGAGACTGGACTAGTTTTGGACTATTCTGTCCAGAGCAATTATTGCCATGGATGTAGCCTTGGACCTGCGCAGGGATCTGACAGCCATGAAGACTGGGCCGAAAATCACAGGGCAGTATGCCAGAAGAATTTTGCTGGGTCTGCAAATGCGATGGAGCTGCAAGCAGCAGACGAGATCTTCCGTCGGTCCGTCCAACTCCACAACCTGCAGTATGTGACAGTGCTGTGCGACGGGGACAGTAAAGCCTTCAACCATGTTGCGGGACTTGATCTTTACGACAAGGGCATGAGGAAAGAAGACTGTGTGAACCACGTCGCCAAAAGAATGTATGCTGGCATGGAGGCCCTAAAGAAAACAAAAAAAGGTCTCGGTGGAAGGGGCAAACTAACGAACCTTGTCATGAAGAAATTGACCAGCTACTATGCATCTGCACTGAAGACCAGTGCCCCAGACGTGCCAGCCATGCAGAAGGCAGTGTTTGCCAGCCTCCTCCACAGCTACTCCACCGATGAAGAGCCCCGGCATCAGGCCTGCCCTCATGGAGAACATTCCTGGTGTCACTTCAATCGCCAGAAAGCGCTGGAGGCAGCAGGAGAGCCGACGAAGCCACAGCCACACCGCCCTGCCTTCTCCAGAGACATCGCAAAGGAGTTGGTGCCCCTCTACAATAGACTCTCAAGGCGGGACCTACTCGAGAGGTGTGCTAGGATGGGAACGCAGAACAACAACGAGTCGTTCAATGCTCTGGTGTGGAGGCGGTGTCCCAAGACGGATTTCGCCTCTCGAAGAACTGTGGAAACTGCCGTGGCTCTTGCCGTCCTGGAATTCAACCTGGGCCCCAAGGGCTTTGAGAGGGCCCTTCATGAAATGGGAATCGAACCCGGAAGCCACCAGGTTCAGCACGCTGACAAGGCCCTCCAAGCCAAGGTCTCTAAGGCGAAGCAGAAGGCCCTCAACTCTTCGAAAGTGGCCCATAAGCAAAGGAAGCTGGCAGCAATCGCCAAGGCACAGAGGGACCAGGCAGCCGAAGGGGAGACCTACTCTGCCGGCGCCTTTTAGTGGACACAGACTGGGCCAAACTAATAAAGTAAAGGTGCTCAATGTTTGAATGCGTTTTTCTCAGTTTCACTTTTTTGCTGCAAACTTTGTAGCAAGGAATCTATCGTTTGATGGTAAACATATCCAGGTGCCTCGTTCAAAGTGTTTCTGAACTGAAATTTACTGGGGAATTGGGCTATCTACTTCATTTTGTTTTAAGCTGAAGTCATCACTGAGAAAAAGTGACATTTTGGCAAAATGGCATTCAAAGAAAGTGCATATCATTTTTGGAGACGGAATTTCTCTCCGAAATATTTACATTTTAATCATACAAATTAGATAGCCCAAAGCCACATACCCTCTACTTCATATCCAAGCAATAAAAACTGTGGTTTAACATTTCATTTTCATACGATAGATTTCCTAAGGAAAGGTGCCACAGCCTCATACACAAATATGTAACTTTTTACATAATTCTCCTATAGAAGTCAAAGTTTGCACAGTGTCCCTGCATCTGCTCATAAATGCACTCTCCAAATTTCGTTAAAATCGGACGAGGAGTTCAAAAGTTAATAATTATGCCAGTGTCTCCCCTTAAATTCCCCGCCAAATATAGCGGGAAAATTGATGATACATGACATCGTGGTTTCACGTGACGTGACGACAGTGATGTTGCATCACGTGACCCGACATCACCTAATGTCGGGTCATTAACATTACGGTACCACGCGACACCACAACTCAACATTGTATCGTGTGACGTGGCGCGGTCACATGGCCCAACGTCACAATGTCAGGTCGTGGCGTCGTGTGAAGCACGCGACGCTAATCTCCGCAATATTTTTAGCTAGAAAACGGGGAAGACGGACAGATTTCTTTAAGCAGGGAATTTCCGTTTTAAAAGAATTCGCCACTTTAAGATGCACGAGCAGCGGGGAAAGCCGCCGGCGCTCGTTTTCTCAGTGGCCTTCCACGGTGCTTCGCTCCTGCCAGTGCAGCGGTCCTCACTTGTGGCTCGGGTCCAGTGCGAGAGAGCGGGGGTCATCGAGTCCCTTCCAGAGCAGCACCCGTCGGCTGGAGCCATCCAGGCGGGACACCTCGAGCCTCTTGAGTCCCATGTCGACCCAGTACAGGTTGTGGGCGACCCAGTCCACCGCCATGCCCTCCGGGTAGTCAAGGCCAAACTCTACCAGAGTCTGCGGCTGGCTGCCATTCAGGAAGGCCCTGCTGATGCGCTGCACGAGGCCGACCCGTACGTGAGATCAAGCTACGGACGCGAGCACATGCAAGTGCACCCTCTGCACAAAATAAATCGAGACCCTTAGAGTCGACGGAACAGCCTTGGGATCCTCTTGAGAAGCTGCAGAGGACTCCCAAACTTGCACCCAGATATCTCGCACTCCCCCATTTCAGGGCACTTCTAGCAGGCTTGGAAATTTTGAGAAGGAAAACACAAGACACAAGAGGTCAAAACAAGCTGCTAGATAGCAATAACTTTTCAAATGTTCGTTGTTGCTACAGTCTCTTCATTTCACCGAAACGCTGTGGCACTGACAGTAGTGCTAATGCAGAGCAGACTTTTCGTTATTTCGGTGCTGAGATGCATATGTAAACCAGCCTTTATAATGAAAAAGTGTTAAAAGCTGGTAAGCATGTAAATATCTGTCTTTGTCCCTCGGCATTTCAGGCTCTCATTCTCGTAACTGTTTGCCAAGAACCCTGTAACGCAATATTGAAAGATTGACAATTTTTTTAAGACACACAACCACATGCTTGCCTCTGTTATAAAACATTTTTTTCAAACTCTTTTTCTTGGTAAAAACTAAACTAGCTTGACATGCCTCTGCCCCTAGTGAGTGAAGTAACAAAAAATCTTCAGGCCAACTTACAAAGTCCCAGGCTGCTTGCAAACACCAAAAAGAGAACATGAATGCCAACATCTAAAGACAAAAAAACAGTGTGCCAACCCCTTGCATGTAAGTCCCAACCCTCTGGCAAAATCAAGAATCAGATTCCAGAAGTTCCTTACTAACACCAGCACCCTAACAGATGCCACCAAGAGTCACTTTTCTAAGAAGCAAAAACACCACTAAATTTTTTAATATTGTCATAAAAATCCCCCAGATGCTAAGAGGGGAGCAGGCACCAGATTCCGCTTTTTCCTGGTATCATAAACACAGAGTTACTTAGAAAGATTTTTGGTGTTTGGTTTCTCACAATGTATACACTCTTCCAGTTCACAGAAAAACATGACAGGAATTCAAGGCCCATTCACAAAGTAACATATGTTTACATTACAGGGGCTTACTTCGAGGTGCAACTGCGAGTTGCCACAGTAACCGAGCGCTGCTTCGCTTGGTTACCATGGTAACTCGCAGTGGTATCTCAACGTAAGCCCCGACAACATGCTCAAGCGCTACGGTGAGAATGTGCTTCCAGGATACCTCTCAACACCAGCTGCTACAAACAAGTCCGCATGTAATCCTAGTAACTACACGCTGCATCACGAGGTTATCGTGGTAACTTCCAGCTGCACCACCATGCGAATCCCAGCAACATTTTCAAATGCTACTGTCAGAGTGATGGGATGCCTCGTCGAACGCATTCAATGTAGAGGACAGAACACATAGTGTGACCGACCCCAGCTCACGCCTCGTTCACACTTGTGGAAAACTCTCGCGCCGTCAACTGAATTCAATCGGCAAAAAAAATACGGCGCCGTTCACATTTGTTGCCGCCCGCACCGTCCACATTGCTGACAGCCCCTGGCTCGTGCGGTGTTCAAAAAACTTCTCTCGCAAACTTCTTCTTGTGACCAGCACTTCGCTGCTACGCGATATAAAACACAGCATTTCTCGTTATAACAAAATCGATTTTTTTTTAATTATCACTTTTATCAAAGTCTGATGAGGCCCCAACCAAAATGCATACATTTTGAACCGGATTATTCTAAGTGTATTGGCGGCCGACCAAGCTTATTACGAAGCCTGAGGTGCCGAAAGCATGCAAGCCTACACGGGAGCGCCATGGAGACCTTTCTTTTCCCTCCTCTTTCTCCCCCGAGGCAAACGGCAAACTGGGAAAACAACAAAGAAGTAAACAAAACCAAAGGGTTACAGAGGGCCGAGCGCCGCTTTCGATGCCGATGCGCAGACGCGGGCAGGTAGCAGGGGGAGCAGCGTCAAAGTTCCGACGTTAGACACGATGCCCGCAGCCGACGCTGCCAGACTCCTGTCGAAATCGGGTCAAGGGAGCGGTGGAGCCCAGAGGAGATCATCCCTTCAGGAGCCCCCCATGCATGCACTTGCACGGGCACGCCTGCAGCGTACCACATGCTACAAGCACGCATGCGTCGTATGGGAGTGAGAGTGTTTACCGAAAGTTACTTAGATCTGCGAGGTTAAAAAAAGAGGCCGGCCGATACCTGAAATCGCCAAAGATTTTGACATTCCGGCATCGCCTGTTCGACACTGTCCCCTGTTTTACAGAACAAGCAAGGCACACATACTGGACAGGTTCGAGAAGTTTCTCACGCAAGAAAAAGTGCAACCGCTACCTGAAGATGAAAGATAGCCAACTGCTTTGGGCACGTTGGATTTTCCCTAGCGAGCATGCCTTCCGAGCCGGCGCATGATTCTTAAAGTCGCAACGGTCGCTAGAGAAGTGTGTGAAAACATGTCGGCCAAGCCACCGAGGATAACTCGTTTTTTCACACTTGTCAATGCAGACATTCCTGTTGTTGCTCCATAGACCTTGCGTGCGGCCAGAGTACAGTGTAGACCGCATATAACGTATGTCGCGGAAGTCGCGAAAATCCGCACTATAAGCGGTACCGCGTTATAACCAAAACATCAATTTTTCAGGCCAAAATACATGCCATGAGACAACCTACCTTTGTAAAAGAATTTATTTTATGTTAGATGAAAAATAAAGCTTAGTTTGAGAAAAGTCTTTATTTCACCAGACTAGTACACATCTCTCTCAAGTGTGTCACACATTTTGAAAGAAATAAGCGGCTTTTGCCTGGCGCAGCCTTTTAACGGCGTCGCGGGTTGCGGACGGACGTTGCGAGCGTTCAGGATTGCTAACCCTAATCACTTTTCTCCGGAGATGAAAACGCGTGAAAATTCGCATCCTTCATACGGTACGCGCCAGAAAAATACCTTGAACTCGAGCACAGGCATGAAATGCTCCAAATAAGAAATCCGGGCGATGTTCGAAAACACAAATGCTTAGGAAGCACCACTTTAGCCGAAGTAAACAAACACGACGACACGGGCGTTTCTGCCGTCTTGAGAGCGCCGCCACATCGCCGCACGAGCAGGTGGATCTTCCCTTCTAGTACGTGCTGGGTTATCATAGCGACACACAACGAAAATTCACTGTCAAGGATAGCGTTTTTACGCGGAATGATGAGATGAACGCCACAACCGACGCCATGTTTGCGGACAGAAGCCGCCGCCGGCCCGCGATTGGCATGCAACGCGCGCGAACACTTCTCGACCTGCGATTGGTCTGTCGTTTCGGTTGTTTGTTTCCAACGCAGCGGAGGGACGCACGCACATGAACGACACGTGCGTGCGTCCTTTTGTCGCTATGGCAAATGAAGCCTCTCTCTTCGCTTCTCCGAGCAACCTCCTTGCCCCGCGAGTGCCGTTTGCGGCTCGCGCCGTTATCTCGTTATCTAGTGTCGCACAGGGAAGCGTGCTCGCTGCTCCGGTCGTCGGCGCGGTCGGCGGGCTGTGCCAGAAACCGCACTATAACCGGTATTTCCCGTCGCGCGCCTGCATTTTAAGCGGTATGTAATTACATGGAGTTCTATGGGAGGCGAACCGGTGGTTTAAAAAAACCGCGTTATACCCGGTCCTGCACTATAAGCGGTTACGTTGTAAGTGGTCTATACTGTAAACACTAAGCGACGTGGGAAAGCCACTTCAGGAAACGCCGACGAATGCGGCGACACAAAACATCCTACGGCTGCTTCTAAAAAAAAGTGGAGTGCAGCAGTGGTGACAGTGTTCTTGCGATGCCTGGAGCAGTTTGAGGAGAACTATAGCCCGGATGAAATTATCGGCAAACTCCACTTAATTATTCTTTTGACTCGGTGAAGCTGCCGCTTTTGTTCATAACCAAGGTTTGTTTGATTATATATGCGGTCAGAGTGTTCCTCAGTGTTCCCGTCCACGTGGAAGGCTGCTGGTGCTGTTTTCCTGGCTCTATCGCTTTTATCGAATTACCGGTTATAACAAATTTTTTTGTTGTCCCACTGACTTTGTTATAACGAGGGATTACTGCAGCTAACAGCCCACAGTCAAATTGAATACACGGCAATATGAGAATATAATAATAAAAAGCTCGAGGTACACCTATGCATTTCTACTAGTTGTGAATGCGAAAGCATGGAAGCCGCTCGTCCGCTCCCTCTGTCGTCTGCTGCGTACTTTTCGTCGCTGGTCAGCGCGCGTGCTCCCCTGGGCATGCTGACCTTGGACCCCTTGGACGCTCCGTGTTAACGGCATGCTGACGGACACAGCAGCGCCGTGGGGTGAGCGGTCGTGGAAACTGACAAGTTTCCATGACCTTCGAACGCGTGCACGCTTCGGGATCTTGGAGACTATGGCGCAGCTGCCAATGGGAGCCCCGTCGACGCACGCCAGCCAATGGAACCGAAGGCGAATCACTCCTATTGGGATCGCGGAAACTAGGTGCCGTTTTCGCGCTTCAAACTGATGAATGTCAGCTCGCTCCATAAGACAGTTAATGCTTTTGGATTAAAATACCAAGCAAGCGGAGACAATGTGCGTATTTACTGCACATGCCAATTTATTCCACAGATTACCTTTTGTGGGTGCTGTCTCTGTTGTTCAAACGCCCACTGTCTAAGAGAGTATTTCTGCCAACATAACGACATTAGCGAGCTGGCGCCATTTACACAACTTGGGAGCTCCCACATCTCCGGCAGCGACCCCGACAATTCGGACGACTCGGCTAGTATGCGACGTCGGCAGATGCCACTTCCTCCTTGCGTTCCAACTGGCTGCGGTGGCACAGAAACTTCTTCCACGCGGGAAAAAAGTGGACCCGGTCCAATTGCTCTCGCAGCCCAATACTCTTGGCAGCTTGTTCAGATTGATCAGATTTTGCCGCTCGGGGTCAAAGTCTCCAACGATCCGCAAGTGTGAATGAGCCAATAGGTGAAAACGGTCAGTTTCTTTGCCGCGCATTATCGGGCTCGTTTCAGCAAGTAAGATCACCATCTTCATTGGTACCGTCGAATCTCGTTCTAACACATATCAACCCCAGGTGCCACAAATGTGACCACGAGAAGTGTAACTCACGGTAAGGTTCGCATCTTGGCGTATGATCCAGCAACGTAATCAAAAGCCACCGTGAGATTGGCCCCTTGGGATGCCACTCAACACAAAATGCCACAGGCAATACCGCGAATAAAATGATGCCGCCCCCACCTTGAGCCCGGTGTCGGTCCAGTAGATGCGTCCGTCCGAGACGTCGTAGTCCAGGGCAGCGGCCTCCATGACCCCAGAGAGGGGCACATGGTCCTTGCGCCTTGACTGGAGGGAGATGCGCCAGATGTCCTCCCGCTGGACGTACAGCAGGAAGGCCTCGGTGGCCGTGCACGTCTGAAGGTCCTCCCGCAGCTCCAGTCCTGTGGGGCAGGCGCAGGCCGGGGCCTCCCCGTTGGGACGGTTCAGGCACAAGTGGCTGCAGCCCCCGTTGGACACCGCACACGGGTTCGTGCCTGCCAAAGCATGCAACGTTGATGGTGAGAGTCGGGGACGCCCAGCACCGTCGCTTACCCACGAGACCCAAATCTCCGTTGGTACCAACGTTCTAAAGGCTCCTTCACAAACTTTTGCCTGCTTAGGACCAAGTTCTTGCCATCTCTTACAATGACAGAGTGCACACTGGTGCCATCCATCAGGTGATCCTGGGACTGCATTTTACTGAGCAAAGGTTATGCGCCATTTGCGTGATCAAATATACATACTACCGTATTTACTCAAGTAATAGCCGCACTGTTTATGAAGAAAACCTGAGGGTTCGCTTTTCCGCGGAGCATGCGGCTTGCCAATCACCGCGATCGGCAGCATGATTCCAGCTGTTTACAGGACAAAGATAATGTCTTCGCGCGAAGATACCATCTGTGAAGATTGCATTTGTATGGGGAATCCTGTTCTCGACCTAGTTATTCGATACGTTATTTATGCGCAACGCGATGATTCACTGTGTTTGTGTTCTGCGGGAAAGCAGACGCAGGGGCCTTGTTCATAAATAGTGTGGCTATTACTTGAGTAAATACAATACCTATGAGAAAGGTCTGACCTGATGTGAGCCCTTTCCAAAAAATTTTCCAGCCAAAAAAAAAAAACGAAACAAAAAAACAAGTGATGCGCAAAAAAAAGAATTGAGCAGTCCCGCGTTAATTTGAGGTACAGTCACACCAATAGCTGCGACAAACACATTACGGTGAAGTCGTTGGGCATCGTGTGCACGCGATCTTGGGGGCGTGAACAAAAGCGTTCAGAACAAAATAGGTATCCGACCCTTTTGTTCCGAACGCTTGCTTCTTTTTACAGCGAAGCTGTCTATGGCTAGTTTCTGCCAGATCACCCCGGGCTTAGACCGAGCGTAGACCAACAATATTGTACAGTTAATTCTGCAGACGTCGGCGCCGCACGTGCACGCTTTCCCCGTATAAAAGAATCGTAAGTAAATAACCCAAATAAAGCATTGACGAACACGCGTGCAAGACGCCATTAGTTTTCGGCTTTTGCTTTAGAACAGTTACTGCTGCAGACGCCGGCGCCGCACGCGCGCGCCTTCCCTACGCAATGCGTTTCTCTCCCCCGACATTGCGCAATGCCGCGCGCTTTTCGCAGTGATGTGATTGGCTTAAGCTGTTTTAAGCACCTTTCGGAGCAGCCAAAACAGTGTTTTGGAGCAGCAAAGGTGGCCTTTGGAGCAGCCATAACAGTGTTTTGGAGCAGAAAACATGACTTTTGAAGCAGCCAAAACAGTGTTTCGGAGCAGCAAAAAGTGACTTTTGGAGCAAATTTTCTTAGAATAATAAAGATATTTGTCTTAAAGGAGCGGTGCAACGATATTCAATTGGAATGTTTTTCACTTTACACGAGCTTACTGGCACTAGTGGGACTCAAGGGTACTCGCACGCTACGCCACTGGCCAAGAAACTCTTCTGTTGCGGTGTAATTTCAAGGACAAAAGCGCTCAATTTCATTCAATCTCTCCTTTGCGAAATTTGATGACGTAACGTGGGGATCGCAGTACTCCCCAATGACGATATCTTAATGCAGTTCATAGGTTGGACCCGAGCATTGCGTGAGCACTCGATTTGGGCTCGTGATAATTAGTAGATAATTACCCACCAGAGCGTCAGCTTTGCTGGACTGCCCTCTTCACAGGGTGGAAGGGCTCTAAATTCTTTTTCGTTTCGGAGCGAGTTTTGTCGTGTAACTTCCGCTTTGTTTGTTGTGGACTTGACACCGACGGTGACCACCACCTGCTGCTCTATGCTCCTATCGCGCGTGAAATGCCCGAGCTGCTGCAGCTTTCCATTTTTCTTTTCTTTTTCCCATAAGCGCCGCAACAATCGTCATGATTGATGTAGTTCTTTGCTGGGTGATTTGTATCTTTGTATTGTCTGCTAACTTGTTTGTTTAATTCGCCGTTGTTTGCAACTCTTCCCTATTTCTTTGTATTTTCGTCCCATCTTTCCTGCAAAGTTCGGAAAGCGTTTGCACGGTCATTTTTCTCGTTACTTTTTGTTTTTGTTAAGCTGCAGCAGCTGGTGCGCTTACCCTGGTAATCTTAACATGTTGTTTGCACACGTTTCAATGATCACCTATTCAGACAAGAAATTGTGACAACGCAGTTTGTAATGGATCAACAATAACCTCTTATGATGTAGTTCGAGTAGCTGAACACCTTTTTTCTGCTTCTGAGGTGCGCTTCAAATGCGTGTGATCTCCTGAGTGGTGTTTGAGACCACAAAATAAACTACCGTATTTTCCGGACTATAGTCCACAACCGGTGTATAGTCCGCGGAGGCAAATTTGGGGTCAAAAATGAAAGTTTCTGCTTAGATAGTCCGCACCCAGTGCATAGTCCGCATATGGTGCTTAGTAGACTCGAAATTCTTCTCATACGCGGCACACCTGACATATGTATGTTTTCTTAGCTCACAAAAAAGCCTATAATATACATAAATTATCAATAACATACTCTTTTATTCACAAAATCCGTCCCGTCTCGTCATAATCAACGATATTGAAAAACATAATTCCTGTATAGTCCGCACACGTAGATAGTCCGCACAGCCAGAAATTTCAACTTTTAAACATGTATAGTCCGCGGACTATAGCCCGGAAAAATAGGGTAATCTATCTTTGTTTCTGCGTGCACTGTTATTTGACTGTCGTTGCAGTTGCAGTCAATGGATCCCACTTTGCAAGCAGACTGACCATGTCGAACTGTTTCAGCTGTTGGGGTGACTAAATGGGGCTCGCAAAGCTCGAGGACGTCGTGGAGCCTATACTTTTCCATTGCGTCGTCTGCTTCCGTAGACTCCAAGTCCGCTAGAGGTCCACTGTCGCGATCGCCGCCACTCCCATGGGTTTTCGGAGGAGTTTCCGGTATTGGCGAAGCTATATCGTATTTGCTAAGGAGAATGACACTAATGCTGGCAATGTGCTATAGCTGCAAAAGAAGACACTAAGAGCAATGTACCTGAGAATGCGACGAAATTTTAACATGGTTACGCGGGCATGAAGCGGGGGACTAAGAATGATAATGCTAGTAATAACCATGTTCAGTTAATAATATGGCGAGAGGACCCATGTCACCAAACAGTTTTCCTCGTTCTTTATGGTATCTTAGTTTGCATATCCAGAGCTTGTCGCGCCACCGTTTCTTTACGCGCGCTTCTTTTTGCACCGCTTTGTCCGCTAGAGGGGGTCACCGACCGAACTTCAGTGGAAAGACCGCGTCCAGCTGCAGGCCAGTCGAAAGACTTCCGCGGGCTGGACCTGACGCGCATGCCAGGGTTGGAGACCCCTGCTTTAGGCAGTGAGCGAGCAAAACAATAAGTTGCGTACCGTGAGCCTCGTGCACATTGACCGCCTTGAGCCCCATCAGGTCGGGCAGCTGATCAATGATGACCTGCCGCTGACCCCCGGTGTCTTTGTGAACCCGCTCGATGGAGCGGCCCTGCCAATCCGTCCAGTACATGTACTCCCCTGCACAAAGAGGACTTGCATGAGAAGTAGCCCATAAAGAAGAATAAGTTTCGCTGTACTTACGTCGACGGCACTTCCTACAGACACGAAAGAATATTATGAAGATGAGGTTAGAGCAGCAATGAAATGTCATCCCATTCATGCGCGGGAAATTTTCAGAGCAGCATTATAAATTATTTGGTCTCAAATTCCACCAACTACGCGCCCATACAACAAATTTCTAGTAGCACCGACCAATTTCCGGGAACTTGCCAAGGTTTCTGAGAAGTCTCGCGAAATTTCTCTCGGATCGGGGAAAATGTGCACCGACAAGTTCTCGAGCCAAGTACCGTAATATCCCGAGTCATCGCCCATCCCCGAGCCATCGCCCACCCCGTTTTTTGGGCCAATATCGATTTCCGAAAAAACACCGAGTGATCGCCCACCCCTTCAAATACCCCAACGCGAACTCGGCGATCCGCGAACACTCGTCCTACCCAAATGACGCGGCCGCGGACTTTACAGTTGGAGGACGTCCGTAACAAAGTAAAACGAAGGAAGGAAAGACACTTCTTTTTGTTTACAAATTTCCTCCGTGATCGACCCCAAAGTGGTCGTGTATCCGTGCGAAAAGAAAACGATGGAGATAACAAAATAAGAGTTTGTTAATGTAACCGCGGAGTGTTAGGTCAAAGTCTGTCTCCGCCGAAGTAAGGTCACCGCGAACCCGCTCCTTCTTCCCGCCCGTCGCGACCGCGGTTGTGCAATATTTTAGGCAAAGCCAAAGCGTAAATAAAGCTTCGCTGGAACAGTCCTACACAGACGTTTGCAGAGCGTCCCAACCGTGCAATGATAGCCCGCCGTGCACGGACGCACGCACGTATGTACGCACCAAACAAGAAAGTTGCGCAAGAGCTTGCAATTGACAAGGCCCGACTTGGCCCGACGCCAAAGTATTTGCCAACGCGACCGCCGGCTTTCCTGCTTTCCCAGCATCGCTCTTGGTCGCTTCTTTGGTCCGCTCGCTCGCTCGCTCGCTCGTTGCGCCTGGTCGGTTTTTCTATTTCGTTGTAAACTTTTCTTTCTTTCTTTCTTTTTTTTTACTAACTAGGAGAACATAATGGTGACGTTCTTTCACGGAACAAACGTTCGCGCTATATGCACATCGGCGGTGTTAATAGCGCGTATGCAAGCAACGGACTTCGCTATAGTAAAATATTCTTTCGTGAGCATTTTTTTCTATAAAACAATGAAACTAAATCGAGTTTTGAGTTTGATGTATCTCTTGTGCATCAGCGCTAGATACGCAGAGAAAAATAGGCGTTTTTTTTTTCCGCTTTTTTTCAAGTGTTTGTGCTCACCCACCGAGACATGGCCCACCCTACTTTTCTAACGAATTTCAGGCGGTAGGGGGGTGGGCGATGACTCGGGATATTACGGTATGACCTTGCACTCATTAGCTAACTTAGTGCCAATTTCTAGAAGTAGGAATGAGAAGTCTACCCCAAAAAACTGCCTGGCCCGCGTACTCCAAAGTGCCGGCAACGTGTTAAAAGCCTCTGCTCAATAATAATCTAATCGATTGATTCTAGGAGTCACAAAAAACAAATACGTGAAGATAAAATATCAGACTTGAGGGTCAAAAACTGCAGTGGAAAACACCTATTCTGAACCAAACTTGCAAAAGTGTAGACAGTCACGATATAACAGCTCCACGACAATGCCAACATGCAGAGAGCATGCAACGCCGATTGACGAACAAATCAACTGCAAAACCTTGTTCCAATCGAAGGCCCCAACGCACCGAGCAGGGTGAAGCCAAACACGTGGGGCAGCTGATCCGACACGAGCACCTTGCGGCCAGTCCCGTCGACGGAAGCCGTCTCGATTCGGTCCATGCGTGCGTCTGCCCAGTACAGTTTCCCAGCCCTGGTGTCGATCGCCAAGCCGTTTGGCCAGCCGAGCCCGGTCGACACCAGCACGCGGCGCTGGCCCCCGTCTAGTGCGGCCCGCTCTATCTTGGGGGCATTGCCCCAGTCTGTCCAGTACATGTACCTGGAAATAAACACCTTCCTTGAGATGTGTCCTACTCAGACGAGTGTCACTCTTTGCAGTAAATACCACTTCGACAAGCTGAAGAAACTATTTGGAGGGACAAGCTTTCGTAAACTTCTCTAGCAAAACTCCATTGCATCTAATGCATTTCTGCTTTTTTCTAAAACTTCTACGACCAACCGCCAGGATTGCAACAGCAAACAGCATGACACTCCGGCTTATGCGACGTCACATGTGCATTATTCTTGTTACAACTGTTGTTAGTAGAAGGCGCCACTGGCCCGCAGCCTCAAGTTGCGGCGACGTGTCTCATATGCTGTTGCGTGATTATCAATTTCGGAAAAAAAAACAAGAAAGGCCACGTCCCCGCGTGGCCTTCCTTGTTTATTTCCGACCCAAAAATAGACAATGCCAGAGTACACAAACGTTCAGAGACAATAGCCATAGGCGTGGGCCACATTCTGTTTATTCTGAATTTTTCTTATTCATTGTTTACTTTAACATAGCTGTAGAAGTTTCTGAGTCTATATGCCTTCCGCGCGTATTCTGTATTTTCAAGAAATAAAATTTTAATTGTCCTTTTCCCACATTATACCAAACTGTTTCTTTTGCAAGAACAACTAATTGGCTATAATGCAATTAAATGCAAAGGTGCAAGCGAGCTGGACAAGAATGACGAAAATAATCCCTGGAGAAGGGGAACAAGGGGGTCAAAGGACAAACATAAATCTTCAAACACAGCTAGGTGACTGGGGCGCGACCGAAAAAATCCGCCTGGTCCGGGTATTAAACCTGGGACCTCTCCATTACAAGTGGAGCGCTCTACCAACTGAGCTAACCAGGGGTTAGACGTTAGTAGAACAAATTGGCCATATTTTGATTTGTCGTATCGCTCCACACGCAAGTTAGATAGGAAAATAAAAGAGTTTGCACAGATTCCTCGAACATTGCTACTTTTTGTCGTGGTCAGGAAAGACTCAAGGTCCCCGAGGGACGTCGTAACGCCCAGCTTTCGACAGTCGAATCAGGTCTGCTGTTCCGAGCGTAGCTTCAGCAAAATCACAGTTAGCAACCAGTTTGCAATGAATCATTTCTTTTAAGTCCCAACTCAACCTGGCGTCCAGTGCAAGTCGGCAAACACAAAGCGCGTCAACTCGAGGTCGAGTAACCGTTGTCGACGCTTCACTCACCCTTTTGGGGGGTCCAGTACGATGGCTCTGGGTTCACCCAGGTCCTCCGAGATGAGCACCTTGCGCGAGGTTCCGTTGAGGCGGGCCACTTCTATGCGGTCCGTGCCGGTGTCCGTCCAGTACAGGTTTCGGGCAATCCAGTCCACCGCCATTCCGTCCGGATGCTGGACTTCGGAGGTGACCACTGGCTCTTGGTCTGGACGGAGGGTTCAAACGGAGAGCGGTCCGGGAAGACGAAATATCAATCATATCTTCGTATTAATAATGCGGCAGACGCGAGAGCAGTGGCACGCCGTGCCGTCGAGAGGTACGGCGTAATTGTCCGTTTCAGGGTGGCCAAAATATCGAGACATGTTTGGGGTGGTTCCATGGGAAGACGTTCCTCTAAAATATGTTGGATTTGACGCAGGTTTCTCGTGCTGCTTTTACGATTGTCGACAAAGCTATGCTTCGCGTAAATGGTTTTTTTTTTATTTTTGTCCAAAGCAAGGGGAACCCCATCCAGTGAAAATGGAAGCGTATTCCGTCGTGCACTTTCTTGCAAGTATCGTGCTTCTGAAGAAAGGTACTGCACAGTTTCTAATGGTTTTGAGCGACCGAGAACCGTTGTGTTCGAGGATTGGCAGAGAGAATTACATTTAAAAGAGCCCGCGACGATGCCATAGAGAATTATCGCAACGTTTTGACCTAGGTCACAAAGAAAATAATCTCTATATAATGTAAAAGTAGCAATAACTGAGGCTAAGGAGAGACCCATTTGGGAAAAGATACCCGTGGAAAAGCCAAAAGTACTTACTGAGATCCACTTCTCACTCTAACATTACCTCGATGTCCTCATAGCCCAGCCACATCCAAAACTAAAGGCCCGTTCACACACTTAGATTTGCTTATGACCGAGTTTTCGCTATCCTTACGACGAGAGAACACACTGGCACGCTGGCGCCACCCATGACATGACCCTGGAACTGCACTTCACCAGAACAAAGCTTTGGAGCATCGGAGGGATCAAATGTGCATACTCTCTACAAGAAATGGTTGTCCATAACGTCGTCAAAATTTTTTCAAACAAAAAAGTTAAAAGTAATGAGCAGCAAAAATAATTAAAAAAAAAGAAATCACAACATCTCCACGTGGTGAATGATGTTGATTGGGGCGAAGCTCTGGTGGTGCTGATGATACAGATTTTTTTGTTCATAGGTAGTGCTGATGGTGCTGATCTTTTTTTATTGCTCATAGGTAGTGCTGAGTTCCGGGTTGCGTTTCGACTTCATTATTACTGCTTTATGGTCGATGAAACGCAGAGCCAGTGGTTCCTCTAGCGGATCAGCTTGGATCCGCTAGAAGCTGTGGGAACGCATCTCCACTGCTTAAAGAGGGACCAGCAGAAATATTCTTCCGCCTGGCGGAAAGTCCTCCTCGCCCTTTTTCTTCTTGTGTTGTAGCACGGCGAGGCGAAGGGAAAAGTCCCCTTTTGCGCCGGTTTCTTCCGAGAGGATAAGCCGAGAAAATCCCCTTTCTGAGCGACGGACAATGGGTGCGGCAGCAGCGACCTCGTGACTCACGGGTATCTTCAGCTCCTATCATGTAATCTGCTTTATTTTTCGGCTCTCGCCAAGCCTAGCCCCTCGGGTGTAGGTTTCACGGAGCTGCAAGGCTGCGCCCTCGCAGTCACCGAATTTGAGCTGTTGAAGCTCTTTGGTTTACTACCACATCTCAAAGCCCCCTACTCGTCCCGCAGTCATGGCCGAGTGGTTAAGGCGATAGACTAGAAATCCATTGGGGTCTCCCCGCACAGGTTCGAATCCTGTCGACTGCGCAAACATTTTTTCTTTTTTTTAAGAAGACAGATGGGATGGCAATCGGTGTGAGCACGGACGCCGGACGGATGGACAAGGATAGACCCTAAGGAGCTTCGCCCCTAAAAAAAAAAGGCTAAGTGTACCATAGTTACCTGAAGGATTGTGTTCTCTCGTCATAAGAGATCACAAGAGGTTCTAAAGCACATGGACGTAAACAGTCGCAAGCGTGTGAACCAGCCTCGAACCCGTAGGAAAAGAAAAGAGACCCGGACTCACTGGATCCATTGAGGTACGCCCGCTGAATCACGCAGACTTCGTCGTCGGTCCAGTAGATGCGTCCCTCCACGGGATCGTAATCTATGGCAATGGCGTGCTTGATCCCGCGCAGGGGCAAAACCACGTCCGTGTAGTCCGGCATGTCCAGGGAGATCCTTCGTAGGTCCGTCCGGCGGGCCAACAGCAGTATCTCCCGGGCCCCTGCACCGTTTGGATCACATCGGTGAGAAACGAACTGTACGGGGTACCCGCTCGAGGCCACTTAATTAGTGCATTGACTCGCATTTTACGTCGTGTTCCGAACCGCAGGTTCCCCGACTGGGTTCCTAAGAACCCTGGGGTTCCCTGAGGAAGGGTTCGCAAACTTTTTAATCTCGAACAGCCCTCATTTGGCTTGACCGAAAGCCAGGGAGTCCCTTCCTGTCTCGGCGTGCTCCAAGGAACCTGGCTTCCCAGCAACGCACTTCGAGATGCTCCAGAGCATCTTGTGCATTCCCCGAGCTCCTGAATTTTCTCAACCGTTCCTGTTCCTAACTAAAGTGCACATCCGGTTAAAGCGCCCTTTTAGCAGATCTGGGCCACTCACTAATACGTAGCTATGAGCCGAACACTCCCCGATAAGCGCGTTATCGCTTACAAGGTCCGTGGGCTTCTGCACCGCTTTACTTCATCAACGCCGAGACCATGAGGCATTCTTCATTCAAGGGAGACAGCAATCTTTCGAGATTAAAACATTTAAGAACCATCGTTCTAAGCTTCCGACTTTGCGAAAACATTTTGCGTGTTGCCAAACGTTTGTCTGAAACTTTGGCCAACGTGCGGGTCGAGAGACAAGCCACCAACCCGAGGCGCAGGTGCGGGTGTCGTTCAGCAGCCGAACTCCGCTGGGGCAGGCGCAGCTGAAGAAGGGCGTTACGGACGACAGGAGGCAGAGATGCGAACAGCCTCCGTTGTTGTAGCCGCACGGTGAAGAAGAGTCACCTGCACGGGAGAGGACGAGCAGACGTTGAAGCAGTGTTTGCAGCAGCGTCGAGACCAGTACAACAGTGGCCGAACTGCCATTGTCTCGCAATGCGTAAACTGCCTCGAGACCATGTCTCGACGACTACCAAATGATCGGGCAACTTTGAGAAGCTTGTAACTAGACAGGAGAGCTCCCACGTTTTATTTAGCCACCCAGACCAACTACATTTTCGGAATACCCAGGAATTACTCTTTCCAGCATGCTGTTTATTACTAATTTCAGAGTAGTCATCGAGAAAGCGGCAAATGTAGGTGATGCCAAAACCAACATTCAAAGGTCATGTCACTTGTCAGCAGGTCGAGCGCGTCGTCTCAAAAATGCAGTGCGTTGCTCATTTTCTACGCTCTGCTAGGGTCGGCTTCTCTAGCATTTATTTCACACCATAAAACTTCTTGTAACCTGTCAGGAGCAGGCTGTACTGCCCAAATTAGAACATCTGTCATCATGTTTTCAGTATTGCCAGTAAAGCCTTGCAGAGTTAAAAAAATGGTGCAGAACAAATTTTCAAATTCAATAACTGTGAAAAACAATTATTTTGACCTATAATATGGGTTACTAGTTCAGCCACGTCTAGTGATGTGTTGTATCAACTTTGAGGCAAATTAGCGACCAGCAAAATTTCGCCAGAGCTCCCCCCTTTTCGCTTTTTCAGTGCTGTGTGTTTACCCCGCATGCTGAACGCTAACTTTGGACTCAGTAACACTTTAGGCATGCTCCGTGAAAATAATTATTTATAAAAGACACACTATTGGTAATCGATGTCTACATGCCTCCAACCTCGCTACGACATATTCTGAGAATTGTAATTTTCGAGACATGATATTATGTCGTAATACCTAAATCTCGCACCAGAGATCAATCTTTTAGGCGGCCTTACTCGGCCTTTGTTTATTCAAAACCGTACTTCCTTGTTTTCTCAGTTGTCGAATACCATGAAGCGCATTCGTCACTTGCTCACACAGCTTGTACATGTAAAGAAAAAAAAAAAGAAAGACAGCTTGGTTGGGGGCGGCAGTGAGCAAACCGAAACCACAAGGGAACGCACCCAAGTATACCTGGGCATGGCGGCATTCGAAGGGTTAAAGAGAACTGTAATGCAACGATAGAAGATGGCGACTTCATTCCCCGTTTAATGGCTTCTCGCGGAAGGCAACGCCCAGGGACACTGACCGGTGGGCTGCCTCAGGGGTCCGTAGGCATGGATGTCCATGGGCTCGAGGTCTCCGGACAAGACAATGCGCTTGTGGGTTCCCGTCAGCTTGGAGCACGACTGCACCGCCTTGGCCTGCCAGTCCGTCCAGTACAGCGTGTCGCCGTGCACCGTCAGCGCAAACGGGTGCGGGAGGGAGCCCTGGATAACCACCGCCCTCCCAGCTCCGTCGTAGTCCATCGACGAGATGAAGCGAAGCTTGGCGTCCGCCCAGTAAATTCTGGAAGCCAAGTCGCAAGGTCGGCACTTGCATACGCTATCTCGTACGACACAGAGAATCCTCGCTTCAAGTTTCATTTTAATTTCAGGTAGGCTCAAACTAGGAGCTCGGATAACTGTAGCTCCACTTGCCGAGCTAAGTGGCGCGATGGTCCATCATTTTATGTCCAAGTATTGCGAAAAGAGGCCGTCATTCTTCCGGGAGTTGCGGCGGCGTACGCCCAATGCGTCGTTTACCCCTCCCGCGACAGCCTGTGAGAGAGCATGGCACACATCGTCTACTAGCCAGTATTTTGCAAGGGGCTCTTTCAAATGCATCACTGTCATTATAAATAAAAATGCATGCACACAATACCCAGCTCGTATAAACAACACTGAAGAGTTGAAGAAGCTATTAGTTGGCTAGACATTAGTGTTCAGCTACATTTGGAGAATGCGAACCCCAGAAAAATATGTTATGCGCAAAACTTGGTGCATGGCAGGGTCACTTCTCCGCCCGCAATACTTCAAGACAGTTCTAATGCATGTGACCGCTTCTCCGCTAACACAGTCGACTCTCATCATTTCGAATTCCAGGATGCCACAGACTTTAATTTGAAATATCAGAAGTTTGCATAATCAGAAATTCCTCTAAATATGATGTGAGGCAAAGTAGCAATTCGATATAGGAACAGCTACACATACCAAGCAATTTTTTCCACTTCCCTCTACACAGGTCTATTTATGAGCAGGCACACACATAAAACATTGGTGAAGTTCTAAGCGAATAATGGTTTTGGCCAAATATTTTCTAAGTCAAATATTGGATAGTTTCTCCAAGCCTTTTACTACCGCTGTACCATGCTTAAGTTAGATTAGATTAGTTTTAATATAACTATATCCGTGAACCAAGGCTTCAAAAAGTTTAATGCCTACATTGGGGTGGCATGTAAATGACAGATTTGACATAATACGAAACCTTAACAGGCGCCCAGCTATCCTAATCGAGGAAATTTATACTATGTGCAAATATTATTTTTTTAATCTCGAATTTAACCTTCTCAGAAAAAGTAAAGCACAAATATTGAAAGCAGATTGCCAGCAGAGTTCTGCTTGCATAATCACCAGGCACGTATCCGGGGGGGAGGGGGGGGGGCCATGGGGCTTGGCCTTCCCCCTTAAATCTTCCGTTTTGCTGGGGCCTCCTCTCCCCCCTCCGCCTCAGAACATTTTGCAATGCACACCCCCCCCCCCCCCCCCCCCCCCCTAGAAACATAATCCTGGCTACGTGCCTGATAATCGCAATAGGTTAGTCCCATCAAATGCTCTTCTCACCGAGCACCAGCGTACTGTGGAAAAGTAATGACTGCGAGATTTGTGGGTATCACTTTCCCGCAGTACACAAGTGCTTGTTGAGAAGCGCACTTAATGGGGCTAACCAGCCGCGAAGAACAACTAGTATGAATCAGTCTTGGGCAGTGACTAGTTACTAGTAATGCGTTACCGGTAACTAGTTACTTTTTTAAGTAACTAGTAGCTGTAACGCGTTACGGTTAGTGGAAATAACTTGTAACTGTAACAGAGTTACTATTTTTTGAGAGTAACTGTAAAAAGTAACGTCGTTACAGTTACTTCTCAGATTTAAGGGAACACGACCACCAAATCGCTTTGCAACTCGTGAGAGAGTCCCAAGCCCTGGTGCGGGAAGGGCACAGCAAAACCTGCCGCAGGAAACGTCTGGAGCAGGAGGGAAGAAAAATAAAAATATAAAGAAACTAAATTTTGTTTCACACTGCACGGCCCCATCCTCCCAGTTGGCGTCCTGGGGACGTTTGTGTCCGTACCAGCCATGTATGCCCACAGCGCGCGGATATGTAAAAAAGCGCGGCATCTTTAAAGCATTTCTCTTTTCTTCGTCCCGCGGAGGGGGTGAGTGCTTTTTGCTGAGGACAGTTTTTGGTGATGGTCGCCCCAAACGCTCGCAGGCTTACAGGCGTCTTCTTGCGGCCAAGCATACGTTTCCTTCCCCTCTAATCTGAATCGTCCACCTCCCAGATGCACTCTTGCGGGGTCTTGACTTCAGGCCAGTTTTATCTCCCTTCCTTTTTTTTTTTTTTTTTGTTTTTTTTTTTTTTTACAACCCAATTACCGGTTTTGTTTCCCGTCACCCACTTCTCCCTTCTCGGGTCCTTTCACTTGTGAAAGAGTATCTGCTCGAAACGTCTGTGTCGTTCTGCTTGTTTGTCTGTGTGTTTTTGTAATTGAAAGGCCACCCTGAGCTGGGACCAGGGGCACTTGGCATCAGTTGACTTATATATATTCAAGTCGTGGGCTTTCCGGGTGGTCTCTTCTATTTCGGGTGGTGAGATAGAGGAGCAAGTTCGATCTGGTTAGGAAGCAACGGAAGAGAGGCAACAGCCGTTTGGAATTTCACGCGCAGTAGTCGTTTGTACCTCGATCAGTGCTTATTTTGACGGAGGAATGTAGCCGCAACATTGCTCTTTAAGTTTTCAAGAAAAGCTTTGTGTTTCATGAAAGATTATGGGCACACAGTAGAAAACGATTTGACCGACGAGTGGATTAGAGTGGCATAAGAAGACATCTACGAAGCTCATTGCAAGATAGGGCATATTATTATTGACTTCACATTTGCACGATTTATATTGCTTCAGTCCAATTTCACCTCATAAAAAAAAATCCAAAATTAGAATTGACCGATTGTAAACTGGCACCATAATTGGATATACACGAGATCTGGACGCGTGCCGTTGTGTTCGTGTATACCTTATGGTGGTCGCTCTTATTTTAAAGTTCTTTAAAGACCAGCTATCTGCTATGCTAAAATTTTGAAAGACTAAAGTCCCCTGTAATTTTTCCAACCAAGAGACTCCAATTCTTTATCATATAGTGGATTTACTCGGATACTGCCTTAAATTATGATCTGAGCTATTCATAGTAAAAATTGAAACAGGAAGAACCAAATATATTAATATATATTATTAAGAAAATCTTAGTTTCTTAAAATAATCAGATTCACTGCCGGGAACAACACAATGTCTTATAAGAAATCCATGCTAATTTAAAGACCTATAAAAGAATGTCCATTTTTGAATGTTTTCTCATGTTTCTTTGTAAAGTAACGACGAAGTACCGGCGTTACTTTAGAGAAGTAACTGTAACTGTAACAAGTTACTCTTTCAATTTTGTAACTGTAACTGTAACAGGGTTACTTTTTTACCTGAGTAACTGTAACTTTAACACTGTTACATTTTAGCAGTAACGTGCCCATGACTGGTATGAATTAAGCGAAAACGCTGTTTGAATGAAGCAGCTTATAAATGCATGGAAAACACAGCGGGACAACTAAAATCTAGGTATTCATTTGTTTTGATTAACTGGAAGTAAGAAATATCCGAGTTTGTAATCATCGCGAGTCCACTGCAAGAAGCTGGCAGCTAAGAGAAAAGAGAAGCAATAATTTTGCTCTACTATTTTAGTTACCCTACAACAACACTCAAGTCGGCTAAGCCTACCAAGCCTTACATCAATCCAAACCAAAACAGAGAAGATGAAGCCTACCAGAGCCTAAGGCAAACAGAAAAACACTTAGCGCTTTCTGTTTTTACATACCTCCTCCCCAAACGTTTTACATTCATCCCTTTTCGAGTAAAATGCACCCTTCCCCACATTAGGACCATTTCTATTTAGCTAAATTCCTAAAGCCCCAACTTCAGAACGTGAGGTTCGAGCGACTGTAGCTTTTCAAACTGTGTGACGAACCTCTTGGCACCGTAGTCGACGGTGAGACCATTGGGCCAGAAGATGTCCTCCCTGACGATGATCTTGCGGGTGCCGGGGTTGCCATCCATGCTGGCGCGCTCAATCTTTGGTGTCTCACCCCAGTCAGTCCAAAACATAAGCCTAAAGCAGAAAGGAAAACAAAGGCATGTAGCTCTTGAAGCAGAATGCAGCAGAATGATAACAATGGCACACAACTCTTGAAGCAAAACTTGAGAAATGTGCGACTGATAACCAAGCTTTTTGACCTTAAGTACATGTTATAACATCCTCGTCGCCAATTGTTATATTCATCCAGATCTTTACTGGTACGGAACGGACAGGACTGGCACGGCGCCTAGGTCAGTCCCCGATGCTCGCGCCACACGCATGCACCCGCTTGAGAACATGGCTCGCGCTGTTTGGTTGTTCTGGGCAGCAACTTGGTTCCTTGATACATAACAGTATAACAGTTTAAAGGGCACAAGCTGCCACCTTCCAAAGCATTCCGTCTGAAAAATCCGCCGGTCGCATAAGCTTCAGAACAAATTGTGCGATTCCTTCAGACTTTCCTTCGTTAAAAAGAGAACATTGCAATCAAGTTATTTCCTAGGAAAGAGATCTTGCATCTCGTAAAGGTTAACGTTTCAGTGGAAACAATATTTGTTCAAAACTAACTAAATAGTGTAAATTTAATGCCAAGAAACAAATTGTCTACGTTTTCAATGTTATTCGAAAATTTTATAAAAAAATATGGTATTTTTAAGTTCATGCGAGATCTTTAATGTTAATGGTAACGCAAATAATGAGTACCGTATTGCAACAAAAAATGCAGATATTAAGAAAAAATCGCTAGTATCCCCAACGTCACTGGTGACAACGGCGTCACGTTTTCTAACCGGCTTTCAGTTTTACGCCCCTCCCATCGCTATAGCTTTTCTGCACCTGCAAATAGGTTGATGCATCTATACATCTGGATACATAATGCTTAATCTCATTTCAGGAAATTTTTTTTTATCGAAACTGTACATATCTTTGCCATTGGTGTTCCTGCCTATGTATCCGTGACTATACACCGTTTTTGGTTGACCTTGACAACAGCCATTCAGCTCGTGCCTTAACCCACAACCGTAACCCAACATGAAGCTGTCAGGAGTGATGAAGCTGCGCAGCTTACCCTTCTGTGGGTACGAGCGTGATAGCTCGCGGTTGGTCCAAGTCTTTCCAGAAGAGCACCTTGCGATGCAAGCCATCCAGCTGCGACACCTCTATGCGATTCGTGTCCGAGTCAGTCCAGTAAAGCTTCCGGCCAATCCAGTCGCAAGCCAAGCCGTCCGGCGACACCACCCCCATAGATGCCACAGTAATCTCCGCACCCGATCCATTGACTGCACGGCCCTGCAAAAAAATTAAGCAGGATTTGAGATTCTAGCCCCTTTAGTCTAGATGTTGAGGAACAAAGTCCAGATATTAAGGAAACAAAAATAAGATGTCAAGGAAACAAATAGCAGATGTAAAGGAAATGAAGTCCAGATAACTAGGACCAAAGAGCAGATGTCAAGGAACAAAGTTCAACTGTCATGGAACAAAGACCAGATGTCGAGGAATAAAGTTCAGCTGTCATGGAACAAAGATCAGATGCCAAGGAGTAAAGACCAGATGTTAAGGAAGGCCAGATGTCAAGAATAAAGGCCAGATGTCAAGAAGAAAGACCAGATGCCAAAGAAACAATGTTAAAGTGACAAGGAACAAAATCAAGATGTTAAGGAATGTGTCAAGGCACAAACTCAATATGTCAAGGTACAATGTCAAGATGTCAAAGTAAAAAGTCAAGATGTCAAGGAAGAAAGTCAAGATGTCAAGGAATCAAAATGTTAAGGGATCAGAAGATGAACTGAGACTATTGGGAAAATTTGCTGGGACAAAATTGTTGGGGGTAAAGATGCTCATGCCAGACGTGTACCGGGTCCTTGTTTACCCTGCAGCCATGACATCCCTCCCGCATACCTTGATGACTTCGAGGCCAATGTCAGTCCAGAAGACCATGCCGAGGTCGTAGATGAAGTCCAGCGCAGCGGCATCTTCCAGATTTCCGACGATGATGCGGGACCCATTTGCTCCGGCGACTCCGCGGCGCCCAGACTCCACCTCCACGAGGCGGATGTCCTTGCGGTTCGCAAAGAGCAACCGGGTGACTGCGGCTGCAAAACAGGGCAGAGACGGCACACGCTAGGTTTGATAGAGACTAGGTTTGATAGAGACGGCACACGCTAGGTTTGATTACCCATTTACGCCATCCACTTTCTAAAAACCTCCGACATCGCAGCACACGAAAGCAGATATACACTTTGCACAGGCCCATCAAAGGCACACAAAAAGGGAGACACTCACGCAGCTCTGACTAACCACTTGTTTACTCTTCTTCTTTGACGCATTAAAAGAAACAATTATTTTGATGTGCCAAAGAAAAAGAGTAAAAGATGATGAAATTTAAAAAAAAAAAGAACAGAGTTGTTAGTCAGCGCTGCATGAGTGTCTCTCTTCTTGTGCGCCCGTGCAAATTGTGGATCTGCTTTTGTGTGCTGTCACATTGGAAGTATAAACAACCAACTCGGCCAAACTGCAGTTTTAACACATACATTTCTTAACTTTTTGTACTTTTATGGCTCAAGGAGGGAAGCCCCTGGAAGGCTTTGGAACAGCAGCTGATACTCCACAAACAGAGAGAGTTTTTGATGGTGGCATCACCAACCAACTTTTGTAGCAGAAAAGGACTGGCCCCTCCCACAAAGCTCTCTGCTTGCCAAGATTGGTGGTTTCCTCCTCTCCAGCTTTGTGCTGGAGAGGAGGCTTTGTGGGAGGAGCTAGTGTCCCGCTATTTTTTGGCTGCAACAAATTATACTAGGGAAAGCATGGTGAAGCTCCCTGACCAAAGAGACCAACATGTGGTTGCATTGTCAGGAACAGACCTTATGAACAGTTCGATAACTTTTATTTTCACTTCTGACTGGCTCCTTGAGACTTTTTCAGCCGAAGCCTCCACTATTGCAAACCGAGTGCTGGAAAAAGTTGCCATACTTCGTTTCACCATAAGTGCACGTGAAGGAGAAGCTACAAGGATGAACGCAACGCATTCGAAGGGCTTGCTATGCGTGCACACTTGTGACGTGAAAGCATCATTCAAGACAACGTGCTCATGCTTGTGGCACTGGATTCGCTCACACTTATAGGGTGTTTTCACTGATGAAATTTCGTCTGCCATTTTGCTGTTATGAGCTGTCTGGTATGTGGCAAAGGTGAGCCTTCCAAGGTCTCACATGACCTCTCAAATGCGTAGTGCTCAGAAGTTTATAGACCTCACCACGTTGATATCACCTCAAGAGGCTGTGATGCAATAATTATAGCTTATTTACCATGCAAGTATGGTGGGAGGATTAAAAGCTGTCAGAGCAGCTTGACTGGTCCTCAGCCCCCTCAAGTAGAAAGCAAGGGTAAGAAAAGCCATATGAAAAGAACAAAAGAACTTATACAATAATACAAGGTACTTCCATCACAAAGGCCACAGAAACCAAAAAAAAGAGAATTGACGACAGTGACGTTGCCTACACTAATTCAAATTGATTGGAAAGGTGAACACACACAACTAAAGATAAACAAAATTATTTTAGCATATCTCAATAGCATGCATAAAGAAAAAAGAAATTGCATGCTTTTGTGCATTGTGCAAAGATCAGTATACCTGAAAGTGTAAGTATCAGATTAAGAAAGTTATTGGGGAGGAGGACAGACCGTGACGCCCCAAGCGGTTAACCTAACAACTACACGGATGGGGACAACAAATACAATGACGCAGCGTTCGGCCGACATAACCGAACGCGGCGTCAGCATTCGGCTGGAGTTCGTGTTCTCCAGCGAAGGGGAGGAGGGGCTCTTTTGTTTCCACTCGGCCTGCATGAACAATGCAGCATGCACGATCCCAGCTTATCACAAAAGCCGAAGTGGGTCAAGCTCGCATTCTCTGAGGATAGATCCGGCACTTAACGTCGCCTCGTCGATTGTTAGTATTTTTTTTTATTAAACTGCGCCCCGCGCTCTATTGTAGAAGATGACATGGCCATGCCCATAAGGCCTGTTGGCATGTGCACAAGCCTTGTGTTGAGTAAACACCAAACGTGGGGAAAACAAACGGGTCAGAGCGCCCCTATAGTTCGATCTCCTGCCCAATAGCTATTTAATAGTGGATTGATGTCATGTGAAAACAGCCTAGAGACCTTTTCCACAAGGGCGCCGCCATCTTGAATTGTCGTCACTTCCAGTATGGGCGAAAGTATTACTTTGCCGTCACCACACCAATAGAAGACATTTAGGATATAAGCCTAACCGTCAAACATTCTCGTTTTGGCTCCCCTCTATTTTTTAACTAGTTACAGGTTGAAACGTTTTACTATTTTGTCGTCGCCCATACTGGAAGTGACGACAATTCAAGATGGCGGCGCTCCCGTGGAAAATGTCTATAGGCCAACATGATTCCTAGTTGCAGGGACGTTTACACGGCAGGGAAGGGGTCTGCCCCGAAATACAAGGACTCGAGACACGCTCAACGCAGTTCCACGTGAAGGCTTCCCACTCTGCCGACTTCCTCGAGGGGACGTCACGACGTGCCTCCGTCACGTGACGTTGAGGCGGCCGGCGCGGAAAAGACGGATCGCCGCATTTCGCGTAGAATGCCGCCGACCGGACCCGCACCATGCGGGCCTTTCCAGCAATCAAACGAATCGTTCGTTCAAGAATCAAGAAATCACCCCGAGAGACGCGCCGAATAAAAAGGAGGAAAGAGAGCGACGGCAGAACATAAAGGGGCCTCAAGAGTAGCCCAACCCAAGGAAGGGGAGTCCTCCTTGCGTCACGTGTAGAGGGCGCCACGTCATGAAACGAGGAGCGGGCCCCGCGATAGAACGCGGCGGCCCTCTTTGAAGTCCGCGCGGCGTCATGACAGGGCCGAAAATTCATCATGGCCGCAACTAGGGGACCGTGGGGGAGAGCGACTGTAAGCAGGAAGGAGGAGAACACCCCGACAAGGAACGGGAGGGGGCCGAAGGCAGTGCTGTTCCCCTCAATTTACCGCAGCAAGCTCGCATCTCGGAGGTCCCCCCCTCCCTGCTGTAAGCGGCCCAAGCGAGGGAAGGATAGAGGGGGGGGGCATCTTGCCTGTCCGGTTTCGGCAGGCGGTCCGCGAAAAAGTTTCGCTCGCCGCCACTGATGTTCCGCTAACGCAGTGCGAGGAAGAGAAAGAGAAAGACGGGACCAAACGCTTGTGTACATAAAAGTCGCTGACTAACGATAAAGCCGCGGGCCACAGCGAGCGCTCTCTAGATTAGCACCGGCACGCTTTGCCCTCGTGGAAACCGAGTCGACATTAGAATACCTCGCTGCCGCGTTCCTTTCTTCCCGGGGCTCGATCTCCTAGATCGTTTGTTGACTCGCGTGGAAAGAGATGAAAAGAAAAAAGAACGCGATACGCTCGTTACAAGCGTTGCGAGACTATTGTCAACAAAAGGTTCCTCGTTCGTCGTAGCGAGTTAGCACTTCGTCGGGAACTTTGTACGCGGTCGCTGCAATGTGCCCGGATGGCGCGCCATTACCAGACAATCGTGAGAAACCCAAGTCCAAAGTCACGAGGAAACCTTGAACAGCGGGCCAAGAAGTGACCTCAGATGAGTATCAAATGTATTCTGTTGTGCTGTTACTCCAAATTTATGACATCCTTTACAAAAAAAAACAAAGCACAAAATAAAAAAAAGGTTTTTTTATTATTATTCGTATTATTTGAATTTAAATGTGAAGCCAACGTACTAATAAAAAAGAAAAATCTTGTCTTAAAAAGATCTAAGCGCCGTAGCCTAATCTAAATTCAAACAATGGCAAAAAAACAATAACACAAAAATATGCGCATTGGTAAGCTTCTCAACACATTAACCCAAGGTTTTAAACCTGAACGTTCACTGTTTATCGCCAAATTTTCTTCAAACTGAAAAACAAAACAAGAAAAAACACTTCAATATAACAAAAGTATTTATCTCTAAAACAAGCGCATTTCCTTTTCTTCTCTCTCTCTTTTTACTTTTCTAAAGTAAGCACGCGAACGATGACAGGACGTGCTGCATAAACCAAAGGTGAGTTTGGTTTATGCAGCACGTCGAATAAACAGCACCACGTGTGCTGAGAGAGAGGAGGAAAAGAAGTAGGAACCACATGTGCGTTCGCATCAACAATGATGCCCCTTGAACGCCATCCCCTTGAAACAAAGAAATGCGCGAAACAACTGCCGTTCCACGAAATGACAAGCCGAAAAGGAGCGTTTTTGATTAGTTACCAAATGCATTCGGTCTTGCCCGTTGTGCGGCGGCACCACACGTCTCGCAAGACGAAATGCGAAAGAGACAAAAGAAATCCCGTAAGGAGACTATCAAATTAGAACGGCAGAGCGACGTCTCGAAAACCATTCCACGAAAACAGTTAGTTAGCTGCGAGTTGTGTTTTCGCGGAATTGAGATTATGATGCCTCCAAGCCAGCTCTTCCAGGATAGATCGAATGAGCTTTCATTCTAAATGAAATACAAGTCGAAATGTACAGCGAAACATGGCGAGAAAAAATAAAATACATACTTCAGGAAACATTTATTATACAGGGTGTTTAATTTTAATTCGAGGGTTTCCACGTCAAATCGTGCAATTACGGTCAGAATCTTCTTTATATATATATATATATATATATATATATATATATATATATGTGTGTGTGTGTGTGTGTGTGTGTGTGTAAAAAAAAAAGAAAAAAAAAGCTGAATGTTTTATTTATCTTTATACAAATGCCGCAGCTAATGTTCTTCCGGAGATGTAACATTTGGAAACTCGAGGCGTGGAGATTGCTAAGGTATCAATTTTACACCGAAGTATGCACGAAGTGTTGATATGTACTATTTCTTTTATGAAAGTCTACGACAAGTACACAGAATATTAAAAATCTCAATGAAATATATTTAAGCAAAAAAAAAAAAAAAGAGCCAACTAAACACGTTTTAGAGATACATTCACAAATTATTTAGTAACGATCAACTTCATATAAAACGCAAAATATATCAAAATTATCATCTTTACAAGCATTTTACGAATATACAAGAAATATATGCCTAGCCATTAT